TGAAAGGAAGCCTTTTATAATTGAAGAATTAGAGTGTGCCCACATTTTTATATTTACTACTCTCTTTTTTACATACATTTTTTTTATTTCCTTTCTTGACATTTTCTTTTCAATTCTTTATTTTTTTTATGTTCCTATATATATAAAGTTTCGATCGTTCGAATGATTTTTACTTCTTTTAATTTGTATTTTTTTTTGTACAAAAAATATTTTCTTCTGTACAGTACAAAAATTAATTCTAAACTAAGAATAAATGTTCAATTTTTATTATTTTTCATTTTGTGATAGTAATTTTTAAAACTTAATTAAGAATTTGTTTTACTTAAAAAAGAAAAGAAAAAAAGAAAAAATTAAAAAATTAAAAAAATAATACAAAAAAAAAATTTTTTTAAAAATAATAATAATAATACAATAATACACTTTAATTTTTCTTTTTTAAAGAATTTATTTTACTTTTTCCTTTTCCAAAGGAAAGGAAAAAGTAAAATAAATTCAAGTTTTAAAAATTATTATCTAATAAAATTACCTACTTTTAATTATTAATTATTTCTCTTCCCTTTCCTAAAGTTTTTTTTATAATTTTCTTTTGAATTTTGAATTCTAAATTTTTCAAAAAATACCGATTGCATTAAGAAAAAATCAGAAAAGTGTAAGATATTAATTTTTTACAGCCAATTAAATACTAATTAAAGTAGTTAGAAAATATAAAAACTAAAGTAATAAATAAATATCCAAATACTAATTTTTATTCACCATAAAAATAAATACAGAGGTAAAAAATTAAATAATTAATTTCGAGTGCAATATAAAATTAAGGGACTTGTGTTTATTTTACCGCGAGAGTTAAACTTTACATTAAAATAATTTAACGCTTGTGGAAAATTTGCATTTTTATAATATATATTATTATTATTTGTATGAAAAAAACGTAATTCGACCGAGCAAAGGAAAATAAAATTCAATTCACGAATTGACAGGTCTCGATTTATGAAATGGATAGTAGATTTTTCCCTCTCTGGAATGATACTCCACTGCGAATGAATATCACGATCACACGCAATGTCTCAAGTCTAATCGAATCGATTACACACCAAGTCTCTTTCTCTCTCTCAGCTCTATAATTCAAAGTCTTTCAGAATCAAAATTATGAATCTTCAAACAAAAAAAAAAAAGAGGAAAAAGGAAAAAAAAATTGAAGAATGATCCTAAAATATTATTTATTGTTCCTATCAAAATTTTTCTTTCAAAAGTTCTCTTAAATCAGTTTTTTAAAAATCCACTTCATGAATATTTTATCAATTTTCGTTCTTTATTTGTTGATGAAAAATATCGAAAAATAAAAATTTAACGACATTCGTAATCAAAAGATTTTGAATTTCGTCAAATTTTTATTTTCTATATTGTATTATTTACTTATTTATAAACCGAACATGAATTTTAGTCCTTTTTGTTAAAAGTGACATTAAAATGTTAAAGTTTACAGGGATCACAGACTTTTATCTTTTACCTTTACTTTTTTTACTTTGGCTCTTCACCTTTTCACCTTTTTTGTAAATTTTTTAATTTTTCTTTTAACTTTAATTTTTTTATTATTTTCTCAAATAACAAAATAATAATATTATTAATACTTATTTGTATATTTTTTAATTTTTCTTTTAATTTCAATTTTTACAATTATTTTCTTAAATAACAAAATAATAATATTATTAATACAAAAAAGTAATGAAATAGAAAAACTTTTGATTAAATATATTCAATTTTATTTTTATTAACTTTTTCTATTTTTTTATCACAGTTTTTCTAAGGATATCAAATTGAGACAAAAAAATCTATCAAAACCTTGCATCGCAACAATTTTGATACGTTTTTTGTCTCAATTTGACATTCTTAAAAAAATTGTGTTAAAAAAATAGAAAAAATTAATAAAAATGAAAAAAATGTTTTTTAATCAAAAGTTTTGTTTCTAAGATCTAAAAATTTTGAAAGTTCAAATTGAGGAAATATTCTTGATTAGATTATGCAATAATTATTACTATTATAATACTACTATTATATTATAATGTATATTTCAATAAATTTTGATTTTAACTTATTAAAACTGTCATCGATTAAAATCCCAGTCGACTCTGAGTTTATAGTTCGTCAAAATGTTTAATCCTTCGAATTCCAATTCATCCTAATTCCAATTAAGCTCCACTTCAACGGATCTAAATTTCAATTAATCAAAATTTCTAATTCCTAATTTTTATTAATAAAAAATTTTCAATCTTTTCAGTAAATTATGTATTTTTTAATCTTCAGTTAATAATAATAGGTAATAAAAATAATACAATTTAAAAAGTTTAATTTCATTTTAAAGAAAGACAATAAAACAAATATAATTGAGATATTTATCATTGTTTTTTTTTCTTGCTTCATGAATCGTGGAATCATTGTCACAGAAAATGTGATTTTATGCACCCTCTGAGTTCAGTTTGTAAATCTTCTGGTCTCGATCGATTGTTATTCTACTTTCCTGTCCCTCAAATACTCTTTGTCTGTATACACTTATTCTCCTTTTTTTTCTCATCCATCTCTCATTGTCTATAATATACAAACAGTATCGATTTTATATTATATATATTATATTGATGTATATAAAGCAAGCTCGTTGGGAGTTTAACTTCTAAACAGCAAAACTACTTGCAGAATTGAGCAAGTTTAATGTTTTCCGGAAATGTTTGTATATATATGTATATAACTGACAGTTGAGTTCACGAGGTCACAAGGTTATACCTTCAATATTAGAAAACTTGAATTTTTAAAGTCGTTGCCCTTTTTGTGTAAATTTTCTTTTCCCTTGAAAATCTAAAGTTTGGAAAAAACTTTTTTTTATTAAAAATAAAATAATTTTTTTTATTTTTGAAGTTAAAAAAATTTAAACTAATGAAAATTAAAAACAAACAAACTTAAAAAATAAAAACAAAACAAACAACTTCTTTTATTTAATTAATTTTTTTTAATTATAAAAAATATACAGACTATAAGTAAAATTACTACTACTACTACTAATACTACTACTACTACTACTAATTAAGTAAATGATTAATTATAATTGTTTATTATTTTCAAAAATTTTAATAAAATTATTCTGAAGAATTCAATTATTCTCAAAAGTTTTGATAACAAGTTTTATAAAAATTCAAATATACTTTTCATAAATAATAAATTTTCTTCGTTTGAATTCCATTGTTTTCAGCAAAAATGTTATAAAATTTCTTGAAAGAATTCGATTATTTTCAAATTTTTCAATTAAAACTATTAAAAAACTATTCTTTTTAAAAAATTCAAAAATAAATTATTCAAAGGAATTTAATTTTTTATCAACCATTTTAATAAAATTTAATAATGAAATTATTGATTACAATTACAATTAAAGAAATTCTTCAAAAAATTATAATCATATAATTATTTTCAAAAGAATATTTTGATGAAATTCAATAATCAAATTTTTAATTACAATTTTAATATAACAGACACAATTATTTTTAAAAGAAATTTTTCGTAAAAATTCAATTATTTACAATTTTTTCAATTAAAATTATTAAAAGACTATTATTTTTAAAAAATACAAAGAAATTATTCCGTAATAATTTAATTTTCTGTCAATAATTTTAATAGAATCAATTAATAATATCACTATTTACAATTATTAAAAAAATCGATTATATTCAAAAAATTAAAGAAATTCTTCGAAAAAATTCAATTATATTGTTAAAAGCTTTATTAATATTTATTATTCAAAAGAATTCAACTATTTTCAATATTCTAAGAAAATCCCTTTGTATTTAAAAAAAGAATTGGAATAAAATTCTTCAAATTTCCAATGTAACATTAAAAACTCCATTATTTCAAAAAATGAATTCAAAGAAATTCTTAAAAACAATTAAATTATTTTCCTATAAGTAATGCAATTCTTCAATAATAAAATTTTTAATTGCAATTAAATGAAGCTGAAGCTGGCACCCAGTTATCAGCAAACATGATTATTTTAAAAAGTTTAAAGAAATTCTTCGTAGAATTCTATTATTTTCAAATTTTTCAATTTAAAATTATTAAAAACCTATTATTTTCAAAAAAATTCCAAGAAATTATTTAATAGAATTAAATTTTCTATCAGTAATTTCAATAAAATTATTGTAAGTAATTTAATATTACTAGACAAAATTTTTTAACCCCTCTTTTTTTAAAAATAAACCTTATCTTTCAATTTTCGTAAAAACTACCTTTCTAAATTTTTTTATTATTTTCATTAGGAAGTTGAGATTTTTTCCAATAAATCGTGATAATTTTAAAAATGAGAAAACAGTGGATTTTCAAGAAAATAAAAAAAAACTTTTTTAAAACTTTTTGTGTATTTTATTGAAAACTCATTGTTGTACCATTTTTAAACTTTAAATAATTTACTAGAAAAAATCTCAGCTTTCCAATAAAAATCATAAAAAAAAAAATAAAAAGAGATAGTTTCTGTAAAAAATTGAAAAATATGGTTTATTTTTGAAAAAAAGAGAGGTAACAATTTTCTTTTTTGAAAAAAGAGTTTTGTAATTGAAAAGAACACAAAAAATTATTTAAAATTCACAATATAAAAATTAAAATCGCTTAATTTTTCTAGAAGTAATGTCAATTTGAATAAAAAAATGTTCCTTAAAGTCTAATTTGTTTTATTGGATCAGTTCACGTGGAAATGCTCTATTTCCAAATTTCAAATTTTTTGATAAAATTCTTCCTAAAAATTCAAGATTTTCAATATTTTATTAATTATTTATTAAATTTAAAATAATGAATTTTCAAATTCAATAAATTTAGAAAGAAATATTATTAAAAAAGTTATAAATGAAACCAAGTTCGCTTCTGGGCGAATAGGCTGAAATAAAGATATTATTATTAATACTTTAATATTTAATATCATTTATCGAAAATAGAATGAATTTACAGAGTGAAATTGTTTTCTTTTGCAGCGTATTGGCCGAGAGGTGACAGCACAGCGTCATCACTCTTTGGAGGAATGCCGGGAGGATATGGTTTGGGGGCACATCATTTGCCCTCGGCTTATGCCATTTTGGGTCGAGGTGGTTCTGCTCCTGGTTTTGGTGGTCATACACCAACTTCCGCACCACCTCCGCCTCCTTATTCACACAGCAGTCTTGGGACCCTCAGTGTTGCTGCCAGTCAAGCAGCGAGCTTAGGTAATTTGTCTTCGTTTCAATTAATTTTCTCCTTTTTTTTCTCCTCCTTTCGAAGATTAAGTACAATCTACTAGACTTTTCTTGAAAATTTCAAATTTTTTCCTCAAACTGAAATTTTGAAAGAAAAAACAAAAATTGAAAAGAAACGAAAAAAAATTCAAAAATTTCTTCTTAAAATTTTATGTTTTCAAATTAAAAATAAATAATTCTTATTGTTTTTTTTCTCTAGGTATTAATCCGGCGAGCGCAGCTTGGTGGACAATGGCTTCGCACTTGGCTGCGCAGGACTACCTCGCGAGGTTACAAGGAGCCGCAGGACTTTCAGGGTTTCCACCAAGTGCAGAAAGCCTTCTACCTCCTTATCCCACTTCCTTACTTAATCCATCGTCCCATTCCTCTCACAAGTCCAGTAAGTGTGAGTATCAACAGAATTCTATTTTCACAATTTTTCTTTATTTTCCCTAATAGTCAATAAAAATTTTTTTTTATTTCAATTTTAAATCTCTTTTTTCAACCAAGAAGGTGATTAATAATTGAATTCAAAAATTATTTTCTAAACTAATGTTCGGCTTCGCACTCATTTATTAAAATTTACTATTTAATATTTTTTCTACGATCTACTGCTATTTTCAGGGTGGCCACATGTCAGTAAAATCAGGGAAATGTCAGGAAAAAAATTTTTTGTCAGGGAAATTTAAAAAATTGAGATATTTTTCGACTTATTTTCAAAAATTTCGACTTTTTCAACTTTTCTTCCAAACATTGCAAGAAAGTATCATATTTTTTAGTATGAAATGTATTTCATTTCGATTTTTATACTGCGAAAAATAACTATAAACAAATCTTTCAGAAATTATTTTTGAATCATTTTTCTATTTTAATTTTTGAAATATACAATTAAAAAGATTTGGAATAATTAAAATTTTGTTAAATTTAATTGAAAGAAAATTAATTTTCTTCAAGAATTTTATTAGAATTTTTGAAAATCAACTTATGAAGAATTTTAATTGCAAATTTTCAAAATAATTGAATTATCAAACATTTTAATGAAAAATCTTTAAAATCAAATTTAAAAATGAAAATTAATGAAAATTTAGCTTCCAATTTTTTTAAAATTTAGTATTTTTAGCACTTTCGATTACATATTTCCGAAAATTCAAATGCATATAAAAAATAATAACATTTTAGAAATATTTTTCACATTTTGGAGAAAAAAATCATATTATAATATTTCATTAAAATGCATCAAGAAATTATTTTGTTTTTTTAAAATAATAGATACAAAAACTCTTTTAAGAAATTCAATTGTTTTTGAAAAATTACATGAAAATATTTTTAAAAACTACTTTATTCTTAGAATTTTTGTATCATAATTTTTTAAGATTTAATTATCTTCGAATAAAGCAAATAAAAATTTGCTTTTTTGAACTTATTAAAATTTTGGAGAAATCATGCTTAGATTTACAATTAAAATTCTTCAAAAATTTGATTATTTTTTGAAAATATTATACCTTAATAAGCTGAAGAAAAAAACATGAACAGTTCAATTATTATTATAAAAAATTGAATTTTCGTATTTAAATAATTTAATTCTCGAAGAACTTTCGGAAAATTATTTAAAATAATTGATTTAGATATGAAGTTTAGTTTAAATTATAGAAAATAATTGGATTCAAGAAGGGTTATAGTTGTAATTTTTAAAAATTATTAAATTTCATCAATTTTACTCATTTTCAGTAAATTTTCATATTTTCCTGTAAAAAAATTTTGTCAGGGAAAATAATTTTAATGTCAGTAAAGAAATTTTACCCAAATTAGTAGAAAAATACCAAATTATTAAAAAACTTAAATTGTCCTTGAATTTTCTTTTCCACCTTGAAAATTTTAAAAACTCCACAAAGAATTGAAATTTTTATAATCAATTATTCTATCAATTATTTATTTAATAATTTTAAAGCTAATCGTATTTTTGATTAATAAAAATTCGGAAAATAATTGAATTTTAGAAAAATATAGAATTGAAATTATTAGCAGGATGAGAAAAAAAGTTAATACTTGTTTATGGAAATCAGGAAAAAGTCTGGGAAATACATTTATTTTTTTCAGTTTTGCAAATCGAATAAAACGAGTTTTTTTAATCGTCAAATTTAATTTTTCGGTAGCTACTTTTTTACTACTTATTTTCAGTGTTAAAGCTACTTTTTCCTATTTTTTAAAAATTCTATAACGAGTGCGAAGCTTGCAGCGTAGATTTAAATATTTTTTTCTTAATAAATTTATAATTTTTGTTAAATTATTGTCATAAATTAATAATTGCTAATTTAGTTGATTTAAATTTATGATTAATTTAGTTTTGAAAATTTATAATTATTATTTTTGCTTACAGCTAAGTCAAGCAAGAGTCACAAGACTCCAACAAGCAGTAGTAGTTCAACAACTCATAGTCTGACAAATACTCTGACAGTAACAAGTCAGGCTCCAGTTACGACTACTCATCACAGTACTTCTTCAACGAGTAGTACAACCAATTCGCAACCGAATGTCGTTAGGTGAGATAATCACTTTCTTTCGCATTAATTATCATGTTAAGAAAAATTTGCATTTCATTATTTTTTTTATTTAACGCTGCTCGGAAATTCCAGTTCTGCAAAGGAAGGAAGGTAATTGTCGAAATAATCGTCGCTAGAATAAATCGCCACGATTTCTTAAAAAATAGTTTAATAATTAATTTCTTTGTTGAAGTTTAATTAATTTTGTTGACTATCATTTTATTGAGTACCATTTTATTGACTTCCATTTAAATTCGACTACCTTTCAATTGACTACTATCTATCAACTACCATTTTCTTGGACTATTTTAATTTGTGATTTATTTTTTCCTTTTTAGTGATCCTAGCAGTATACTGGGGGGCGTTCGTTTGCCACCAGACACGGAAATTATCAAGTATACGTCGAGTATTGTTGGTCCAAAAATTCCCGGAACAACGAATCGAGGCAGGAAGAAAACGATATCACTCGATTCGCCGAGTGTCAGCGTTCATACTCCATCTGGTGGTCCAGGATTATCTGGTCATCAAACTAACACCCCACCTTCTTTGATGATAGAGGCACGAAAATTCAATCGCACTCCGGTAGGTTTCCCTCTTTTTTTCTTTCAAAATCTTTTCAACTTTCTGTAATTTTTAAACTTATTAGAAGTATTTTGAAATCTAGAACATTTCTTCGATTTTCGTCAAAGTTCTGAACGCTTAAATGAACTAAATTTTTCTTTTTAAATATTTTTCGAAAATTACAGCACTAAAATGAAAAATAGTGTAAATTGAGAAGTAAGCAATACAAAAATAATGATAATAAGTAATTAAAAAAATAATATTTTATAGTGAATAAAAAACAAAATTATGTAAATAATAAACAAAACAATATTTTATAGTAATTAGTAAACAAAACAAAATTTTTGTTTGCCTCACAAACTATGAAATTACCACGAATTCCAATATACACCATCAATTTTTTCTATTTCCGACAAAAATTTCTTTATAAATAGCTTAATTCTTGAAAAACTATCATAAAATTATTTGTACTTATAAATTATTTAATGAATAATTTCACTTAAATATTTCAAAATTAATTGAATTTTAAAAGAGTTGCGTATTACAATTTTCATAAGTAGATAAACTTCAGAAGATTTTAATTTAAAATTTTATAAAATTTCAATTTTGAATGAAATTAATTAGAAATTTAAAAAAAATTTGTTAAATTCTCGTCAAAATTTTAATTATTTTTATAAATAGTAAAATTCTCCTCCAAAATTAAATTATTTTCATAAATTTTAATAAAATTCTACGCAAACATTTTTTTTTATAAATAATACAAATTTCAAAGGAATTCAATTATTTACAAATTTTTTATAAATTTCTTCGCAAAAATTCAATTATGTTCAAAAATTTAAAAAAATTGTCGTCAACATTTCAATTATCTTTATAAAATATAAATATTAAAATTCTTCACCAAAATTCAATTATTTTTATAAATTTTAATAAAATTCTAAGCAAAATTTAAATTTAAAAATTTTTAAATAATTGAACTTTGGTAAAGAATTTTGACGAGAATTTTGAAACAATTTTTTAAATAGTTGAATTTATGCGAGAATTCAATTATTATTTTCATAAATAATACAAATTTCTTTGCAGAAAGTCTGTTCAATTGTGTTCAAAAATTAAAAAAAATTGTCGTCAAAATTTCAATTATCTTTATAAATAATAAAATTATTGTCAAAATAAAATTCTCCTTCAAAATTCAATTATTTTCAAATATTTCAATACAATTCTTGTCAAAATTTGAATTATGTTCAAAAAATTTCCTTAATTCAGTGATTTTTAATATTTACTATTTTAATTAAATTGTCAGGAACAAATTATTTTTAAAACTTGGAATAAAATTCTTCGCTTATTTAATTATTTTCATAAATAATAAAAATTTGACAGTAATCAATTATTTACAATTTTTTTATAAAATTCTTGACAATAATTCAATTATTTTAATAAATAATAAAATTATTCTTAGGAATTCAATTATTTTTATAAATAATATAACTCATCCCAGAATTTGAAAATTCTCAAAAAATATTTTCAAAAAATGTTAAAAATAATTGATCCAATTATTCAATACATTATTTTTTTATTTATATAATTGAATTCTCGTTGAATTTTCTAATTAAAATTGATTTATAAATGAATTTCAGTTAAAATGTTAGATAATAATTGAATATTTAATGCTTAGTATAAATTTTTAGAAATAATTTAATTTAAAAGGTTGCATTTTAAAATTTTAGAAAATTCAAACTTTGAATGAATTTAATTAGAAATTTAAAAAAAATTTAATTCAATTTCTTTTGAAATTAGTTGAATTCGGTTATTTTTCCAATGTATATTAAATATATTTTAAATTCAAATTAATTAATTTAGAGAAGAATTTTAGTGAAAAATAACAAAAAATTGAATTTTGGAGATGTTGCAAATACTTGCAATTTTTAGAAATAATTGAATTTGGAAAGAAAATTAAAGCCTTTAGAAATTTGAATTTTTAAAACATTTAATTAACAATTCTGTAGAAATAATATTTTTTAAATTGTTTTTTTAATTATTTAAAGTTTTTATTTTTTAATATATTAAATTGAAGAATTTCTGAATAATCAAAATTTCGTAAAATTGAATTGCAAACATATGGATTTGAAAATTCTCAAAAAACTTTTTCAAAAAACATTAAAAATAATTGATTAAAAGAAGAATTTTAGTTAAAAAGTTTAGAAAAGAATGATTGAATTGAAATGAAGAAAATAATTTTGAACAAGTTATAGTAACAATATTCTTATAATATAAAATAATGATTTTATCACTCGATTATAATTAATTATCGTAAAACATGAAGAAATCTTCATGTTTTACAATAAAAAGAATATTCTTAAAAGTTGTTTTTCAAAAAGGTTTGAATTTGAAATTTTTGAAAATCCTAATTCCTATGAAGAAATAATAATGATTAAATATTTATTTAAAACAGAAGTTATTTATGTTTTCGAATAATTTTCCAAATAAAGAAATTCGTAAATAAATGTAAGAGAACATTTTTTTGAGTATCTAATAATTTTTAGAGTAAATCAGAATATTCTTTAGTATTCGACAGAAAGTCAAAATTTTGTCTAGAAATCAGGGAAATTTTAGGGAAAAACAAAATTCAATTTTTGTGGCAACCCTGAGTAAACGAAACAGTATTTTTTTAGTAAATATAATAAACAATTATATTTAGTAAGAAAATTCGAAGTGAAAGAAGTAAAAATATTTTTGCTTGTTTGAGCGTTCGGAACTTGAGGAATTTCTTTCTGTTCTGATTGTATTAGATTTAATTTTTACGGAATGTAATTAATTTTCAGAATGAATCGAGCGAGTACAGAGATAACGCGGACAGGGTCGAAGTGATTAAATTGCCGGCGCATTCGACTAACGGTTCTATTCTTTCTGCTCCTACATACACGACCAGCAATACAAGCAGTGCAAATGACGCGGACACACCTTTAAATCTTTCTTTGAAACCTTCCTCGACGAGTAGCAGTTCACCAACCGCTAGTAGTCAACCCCTCACCCAACTCAGTAATCTGAGTCAATCGCTACTCGCATCTGATCGAACATGTAAGTAAAAGAAATTCAAATTTCCCCCCTTCATTTCATCACCCATGAAAATTAACATTCCACTCAAGAGGAAAATATCAGCAATTTTTGTCTCTGTCTGTATATCGTCACTTCAATACAATTTCAGGTTTCGATATTTTCAGTTTTGTTTTATTTTCGTTTTTTTTTTCTCCAAAGTGTGTGAAGAGTTATCATCGTCATCATCATCAACCATTCATCGCACCACATAAACACCAAAAAAAAAATGATCAATTCACAATTATTGCAACAGAATTTTAATTACACAAAAAAAATATGTTTCCTTCCGCAACAGATTGTAATCTAAATAATTCGTATGCAGCGCGGCGAAAACCGGGACCGAAGCCGAGAAGAGTGCCACAGAATTCAATGCCGGTACCGCCATCGCCGTCGCCATCGTTGGCGCAATTATTTGCAGCCGCTGATTCGCCATCGCGACCAAGCAGCGGCAGCGAGGAAAGCGAGAGTCCAAGTGCAACGCATCATAAAGATGGAAGACCAAGGAATCTCGGTCGCGGGGTATCGAAACCAAAAAAGAATACAGTCGCGTCACTTTTGGCGCAAAGTAGAGCCCTAGGTATTAAACCAACGCCAGGTTCACTTGATCCAAATGTTCCTTTGTCGCACCAAGTCTCATTACTCAGGTCGAATATACTCGCTGCTCAACAATTCAACGCGTCTCTCTTTCAAGGCGACGATAAAAATCAAGTATGTATTTTTTACTCTACTTTACTTTTCTATTCTTTTTGCAGTAAAACTGTCATATTGTGGGAGAATTTATGAAAAGTTACTTTAAGTAAATTCTAATTTTAGTTTCAAGAAAGTGCTGTTGGTCTAGTCTATAATTTTCTTAGTTCTAAAGTTTCAAAACGAATTACCTTCAAATAAATGACGATTTCGTTCAAATCGAATTTTTTTTCTTTGTTTGAAATTGAATTTAAATGGCAAATATTTTTTTCTAAACTAAGAGAATTAATTCCTTGTGCTTGTATTGATATTAATTAATTTAATTATAATGAAGCCGAAAGGCTACAAGAAAAAAAGATCTTTTTTCTATTAAATAATAATTAATTAAATATTAAATAATAATTATCTAATAAAATATTAATTAATAATAATTATTAACTAATAAAAAATAAAAAATTTAATTTCTTTTATTTATTTTCTATTTATATTTATAAAAAATAAAATACAAATATAAAATATAAATATAAATAATATAAATTTACAATTATATTTATTTTTCACTTCGTTTACAAGAAAACTTCCAAAATATCCAAACAGAAAAAAATTCGTTCATTTGAACTTTCGAAACTTGAGGGAAATTAATTTCGAACTTTTCTCTAAAATATAAAACGAAATTCTTAAACAGAATTTACAAAATTTTTAATGAACCGAATTTTCAAATCGGAATCATTACAGAATGAAATTCATAAAAATTTTATAAGAATTCAAATAGGATTCTATTTGTAATTTATAGCAATTTAGAGGTTTTACTGCAATTTGAATTAATTATAATTTTATTTAAATAAATTACATTGCTTTACAAATTCTTTTATTAATTTTAATTTTATTTTAATTTCAATGAAGATTAATTTAATTTCTACCTTAAACATTTCTTTAATTAATTACTACTTTGCTTTCATTTAAAGATCAATTAATTTTGCAGTTGTATTTAATTTTTGTTTTTATAGGAAAAAAAATTATTTAATGTTTTTAAAATTTTTTCTGTTCCTCTTATTTAATGGTTAACAAGTTTTAAAAACGTTCAAGTGAACGAAATATTTTCTGAAATTACTGTGAGCAATAAATATTTTAATGAAACTCTTTGAAATCAATCAATTATTTTCAAAAATTTCGATGAAATTTGTTGAAAAGAATTTAATTATTTTCAATGCTATTTTTATTGAATTCCTCGAAATAATTTAATTATTTTTTTAAATTTTAGTCAAATTTTTTGAAAGAATTTTTTTATTTTCAAAAATGTTGATAAAATTTTTCTCACAGTAATTCAATTATATTCAAAAATAATAGAATTTTTCGCCAGAATTCAGTTATTTTCAAAAATAATAGAATTTCTCGCAAGAATTCAATTATTTCCAATATCTACTATTTTTTCAAATTTTCTAGAAACAATTCAGTTATTTAGAGAAATTTTGACAAAAATTTTTCCAAAAGAACTCAATTATTTTTAATAATTTTGATAAAATTTGTTTCTATGAATTCAATTATTTTCAGTTCAATTGCAATTCAATTCCTTGAAATAATTCAATTATTTTCAACATTTTTTAATAAAAAATTCTATTATCAAAAATAGTAAAATTTTATCTCAAGAATTCAAATATTAAAAAAAATTAATATAATTCTTTGCAAATTCCTCGAAAAATTCAATTATCTTAAAAAATTTTATTTTAATTTGTTTGGAAGAATTCAATTATTGTCAAAAATTTTGTTAACATTATTTATGAGGAATTCAATTTTAGAAATCTTTAATTATTCTATCAATTATTTATTTTTGTATCAAAATAATTAAATTATCTCATAAAAATTAGTTTTCAAATTTAAAATTTTAGAAAATAATTAAATTTTAGAGACGATAAAGTAAGAATTTTTAGAAACAATTGAATTTTGTAAGGTTTTTAAATTCAAATATTTGAAAATTTTAATTTTTCTAAAAGTGTAAAAATATTTAGATATTTATTATAAAAAAAAATTAATTATTTGTTATTTTCCTAAAAAGTTATTAAAGTTTTGAATAATTTTATTTGAAAATGATAATAAATTGTAACTGAAAATTTGGAAAATAATGGAATTTTACAAACATTTAGAATTGAGAATAAGAATAAGAAATAATGAAAAAAGAATAAGAATAAGAACAAAAAGTTAATATTTTTGTGGAAATTAGGAAAAAGTCTATGAAATAAATCAAATCTTTGTGATTTTTGTGACTCGACTGATACGAGTTTTTTAATCGACAAATTTAATATTTTGGTAGCTACTTTCTTACTACTTCTTTTCAGTTTTAAAGCAACTTTTTGATACTTTTTTCTAAAATAATTACCAAGTTCAAATCCTGAGAAAGTATAAGGGTCAGTCCATTGACTTTCGTCTGGGGGTTGTTTTGCGGCTATATTTTGAAAAAATCTGGTTTCAAAATATGTAAAACTAGAAGACTTCCTGATTCCATTAACCACAATATTATTTCGAAAATTTTATTTTTTTAAATTTTATTATTAATCCACAGTTGGCCTCTCAGAGTGTTATTTTGTAACCTTAAATTTTGCACTTTTTTAAAATCGTTTTTATTTAATAATTATTTTGTGTCATATAACAGAACTTACCAAAAGCATAAATCATTTGATGGTAAATCAGGAATCGAAGCAATTACTATGAAAATATATTATTTTTAATTAATAAAGCGAAATCGAAAATTTTTTCCACAAAAAAATTTTCCGATTTTCTCAAGACTATAACTTTTTTCTCAATGCTCCTAAAATTTCAATCTTCTCCGTGTAGCTTAAAAGTAATATAATTTACTCAATACTAAAATTTGACGTATGTGTTTTGCTTCGTTTTTGAAAAATTTATTTTTTAATTTATTTTCTTAAAAAGGTTAATTTTATACAATTCTCATCGAATTTCAACGTGTAAATAGAGTGATGTGAAATTGGTCGGTTAACTTCAAGTCCTCAAATTAACCTTTTTAAGTGAATAATTTAAAAAATTAATTTCTCAAAAACGAAGCAAAACACATACGTCAAATTTTAGTATTGAGTAAATTATATTACTTTTAAGCTACACGGAGAAGATTGGAATTTTAGGAGCATTGAAAAAAAAGTTATAGTCTTCAGAAAATCGGAAAATTTTTTTGTGGAAAAAATTTTCGATTTCGCTTTATTAATTAAAAATAATATATTTTCATAGTAATTGCTTCGATTCCTGATTCGCCATCAAATGATTTATGCTTTTGGTAAGTTCTGTTATATGACACAAAATAATTATTAAATAAAAACGATTTTAAAAAAGTGCAAAATTTAAGGTTACAAAATAACACTCTGAGAGGCCAACTTTGGATTAATAATAAAATTTAAAAAAATAAAATTTTCGGAACAATATTGTGGTTAATGGAATCAGGAAGTCTTCTAGTTTTACATATTTTGAAACCAGATTTTTTCAAAATATAGCCGCAACAACCCCCAGACGAAAGTCAGTGGAGTGACCCATAATTTATTTTTTTCATACGTGATTCAAAATTATTGTATTAATAGAATTTTGATTTGAAGAAAAAAATTAAAATTTCAATGAAAAAAAAGTTTATTTGAACGTTTTGAAACAGGAACAATTTAAAATTTCTCGTATTTCAATTGTTATTACTTTGTTTTTCAACTGTCATTTGTTAAAAGTTTCTATTGCTTTGGTAACCGGAGTTTTCTAATTATTTTGTTTATACTTATGATTTTGATATTAAAATCCTGCGCCCTATATAGAAATCTTTACAGGAGAAGATGAAAAATAGACTGTTGGAAGTCTCGGGCGAGGAAAGTAATATGGACGTGACCAGTGAGAGTGAAAGTAATACTGACGCGATTACGGACACTGATGACGATAATCCTGAGGGCATACCGAGCGCAAAAAAGAGGAAGCTTAATTACAGTGAGAAAGATCTTCAAATTCCTCTCGAGCGCGGATGGAAGAGAGAGACGATCATCAAGGGTCTTGGGAAAACCGGAGTCATCAAAGGCGACGTTTCTTATCACAGTCCTTGCGGTAAAACATTTAGGAGTAGCCCTGAACTTCTCAAGGTAAATTATTTATACATTTCAGATTTTATTTTCTCTTTTTGTAGAAAAATTTATAAATTTAGTTATTGAATTGAAATTTTCTTAAATTGAAATTTCAGTTTCTCGAGCATCAAAGTCCGGTTGAATTGACACCGATGAATTTCTCGTTTTCATCAAAGCCACTTGTTGGTGAATTCCTTCAGCCGACGATGGGTTTGGCCGAGGCCGAATTCGTGCGACTCAGCTCTCAAGAAGTTGCGAGAAGACTAGAAGAATTAAAAGCCGCTGGCGGCTTCAGGGACGGTAGGGTCAATAGTCAATACGAAAAGGACAAATTGGCATATGCCAAAAAACTCGCCAAAGAAGAAGCGCAACGTCACAAGGAGCAAGCCAGGTAGGAGAAACTATTCTTTAAAGTATTCTTTAGAATAAAGTTTCTAAATTCAAATAATTCGTTTCGAAAAGGAAATGTTACAAGTGATCGATATTATCAACAATATAACTACTAAGAAACATTCACAAAATGTTTTTTTGTAAAAAGAAAATAATTCAATGGCCATGCCCCGGAAGTACAATTTTTTGAACTTATTTGCAAAATTTATATTTGAATATGTTTTTCTAAAGATATTTAAAATTTTCAAAATATATAATTAAAAAGATTTTAAATAATTAAAAATTTTTTTAATTTCGTTGAAAATAATTAATTGTATTTAAAGTATTTTATTAAAATTTTTGAGAATTTTCAATGCAAATTTTAAAAACAATTTAATTCTCAAGAATTTTAATGTAACAACAAATGAAATTTAAATGCAAAAAAATTATATTAATAAATAGAATAGAATTTATTTCTTGATGCTACAAATAATGTTTTACATCTCTTACAGCCTTAATTATATTAATAAATTTTTTCATAAAAAGTAATTCTTAGAATCTTCTTATTATAATTTTTTGAAATTCGACTATTTTCAATATTTTCAATATTTTCAAATTTTGAAAACTCGAATGTCTAAAAAAAAGAGTGAAATTAACATTTTTTTAAAAAACTAATATTTTAGATTTATTGTTAGAATTTTAGAGAACAGAATTATTTTCATAATTTTTAATAAAAATTGTTCAAAAACTGAATTAGTTAAATTAATAAAAAAAAAATTGTACAGAAATTCTTTTAAGAAATTTAATTATTTCCTAAAAATAACGTTAAAATATTTTTTTTCTGATCTAATTTATTTGTTTAACAATTATTGTATCTTGTAATGATTTTTATATAGTAATTTTTGAAAATTCCATTATTTTAAAAAAAGGAAATTAATATTTAGAAAAATGTGCTTTATTGGAAAAATCTTCCATTTTCATAAATTGAAATTCTTCAAAAACTAGAATATTTTTAAATATTTTCCAAAGAATTCAATTATTGGCAAAAATTTGTATAAAATTTCAATTATTTGGAAACTTTTCAGTTATTTATAATGAAAAATTCTATTCTCTGTCAAATATTTTTTCAAAAATATTTTTCGAAAACTATTTTCAGGAATTTTTGTATTGTAATTTTTTAAAATTCAATTATTTTCAATATTTTTAATTAAATATTTCCGAGAATTCAAAAATCTTCGAAAAATAATTACGTTAAAATTTCTTAAAAAATCGATTTTTTTTAAATTCTTTAAATTTTGGAGAAAACAATTATTTTAAGAATTTTCCAAAAAGTTTTTCAAGAGAATTCAATTATGTATTTAAATACAAAAATTCAATTTTTAAGAATTAATAAATAAGTAAAGAGTTGCCAGTTAGAATTATTATAAAAAATTGAATTTATGTATTTCAATAATTGAATTCTCTCGAAAAACTTTTTGAAAAATTCTTAAAAAATAATTGAATTAGAGATTCGACTTTTTAAAAAATTTTTAATCAACTAGAGCTTTTTTTCCTCCTTAAAAATTGATCCGAGGCCTGAATGAGTAGATAATAAAAAATAATTTGGTGAATAGGAAATAAATAATTGAATGATAAGTAATAATAATATAAATATTCTTTATAATAATTCATTGTAAAAAATAGAAAATAAAAATAGTGAGTAGGAAATAAAAATAATTTAGTAAATAAATAATAATTTAGAGAAAGAATGATTGAATTGAATTTTGCGATATGCAGGTTACTGAAGGAGCAAGAAAAGAATGAACGCCAGGAAGCCGTTAGACGAGAGCGTGAGATCAGGAATCAGCAGCTTTTAGAGGTGAGTCATCGTCATTTACGAGTACCTTTAATTTTGTCTCCATCTTGTTGTTTCATTCGTTAAAAAGATCTATTATTCTCTTTCTACTTGGGATACCTACGTTTTTTGTATTTTGTCCACCTAACGTGTGTGTCGCATGCTCTTTGTGTGTGCCGTATATTTATATTACATTTATATATTTATATATATGTATATTTTTACATATATACACTCCTTAAATCGATAGTTTCATATATTATTTAGTTTTCAAAAAAAAAAAAAAAAATATTACATTTACTCGTTTTCCTTTGAAACCCAAAAAACCGTACCTGAGACCTAAAAATTCCAAAAAACATATCCGCCAACCAAAGATCGCTAGCAATAGTGACAGGAGAGCCCAGCATGTCCTTTTATTTTTGTTTTGTTTCGTTTTTTTATTGTTTCGTTTGAGTTACGTTCAAAACGTCATATCACCCGACAGAAACGTATTTTGCATCGCTTTTTTTCACTCATCACTCGGCGAATCGACCGAGCCGAGTTCCAATCACAAATTGGTTTTCTATTTTATCAAAGCAGCGCAAAATTAAATGAATTTTTCAATCTTCCATTACTTCTTCTTTTTTTTCTCGAATTTATTTAATGAAAATATTTTCATAGAGCAAACATGATAAGATGGAAAAATAAATTTGCGATTTGTTTCACAAATTTATATATATGTATAAATATATATAAATATTATTTGTCCATTTGGAGACAGTAAAAAAAAATACTAAATCCTAAATATTCAAAAAAGAAATCGAACTGAAGAATTTAGGTGCACGCGAGTGTGAAAAAGTTCGTGCCGATATATTCTTTTTGCTTTCATCCTGGCTGTGATCCGATCCTTTGATTGATTGTATTTCTCTTATGCTTTATCAACAGAGGAGAAATCATTCGAGTTGTGCCTTCTTCTACGAGGAAGCGGAAAACAGCCAGATTCGGGTTAGTAAAAATAGGAGTGTATCTTCCGCGGAGGAATTTCATCTGTAAAAACAAAAAGAATTTCTAAAACATATTTTTTTGGGAAATTTTCCAATTTTGTAGAAATTGATTCTTGAGAAAGCCTTTGAATATTCATTTTTGAGTAGAATAAAGTTGACGAAATTTTCAAACATTGAGATAAATTAAATTTGGTAAATTAAAAAAAGAGAAATTAGTTCGAAATTATTAAATTCGAGAGAAGAAGAATAAAAATATGGGAAAACCTCCGTGGAAGAGATGAGCTCGGTGTAGAGTAGTCGTGTATATAGTTGAAAAAAAACTGACATCCATGAGCTATTGGAAATGGCTTTCCTAAAAATTATCTAATGCACTAGCTAAAGAAAAAAAAGACAGGGAGATCGATCATCCATTCACTCGCCACGCTCCACTGACCCATCCTTCTTTATTCACAATTTTCACGAATTCACAAAAATTCACTGATCCACACTCGTTTCATCCGTTTTTTAATTCACTTTTGCCCTGCATTTGGTTACACAAAAAAAGAAAAACAATCACTCACCCATTTAAAAAAAAAAAAAAAGAAAAACCATCCACATTATCTCTCACTCACACCCACACACACGGACACTCACCACGCAGAGAAAAGAAAAGTCAAAGAAAAAAATATTAGCCCACTGTGGACTGACAGTAGCCGCCTGGCGGCTGCTTGGCACGAATGCAGGGTCGAAAGCGGCTCGCGTTCACGATCAAACAGAAAATGAAGATCATCCAAGAGATTGAGAGGGGAAAGAGTAAGAGCGATGTGGCCCGGGAACTTGGATTGGCGAGCAGCACCGTGGCGACAATATGGAAAAATCGTGAGAGCATCGCCGAGAGCTGGAGGAATCGTGACGTTATGCAGTCGGACATGGACATCGAGTCGGCCAAAAAAATCAGCGCAAGCATTGTCAATCTTGGATCATCGCCATTGCTGTCAACATCATTGCTAACGCCACTGTCAACAGCATCGACAACGACAACGCCACTCATCACAAATGTGACGACATCATCGACATCACCCTCATCACAATTGGACAACATGCACCAGATCCACACCCTAACGCAAAATCAGGAACTTCTGCAGGAGGTAAGAAGCTCTCCCTGAAAAAAAGAAAACTTGTTTTTAGGGGTGTAAACCCCCCCCCCCCAAATTTCCTTCATTTTTTTTATTTATTTATTAGTTTCAAAACCTTATCCATTTCATTTAGAAAAAAACCCCTTCTCTCTATCTCTCTCTCTCTCTCTTTGTGTCTCTCATAATCCGGTCATTGAGACATGAGGAGTCACTTCATCGTTATCCAAAAAGCTCCTTGGTAATCCTCCTCCGGCTTCTTCATTAGAAAAGTATATTTGCTTATGGACACACTTTATAATAATATATACACACTGGCCAAATCAGGCGGGCGTTGTTTTTTTTTCTGCGAGAGACGAATTTTTTCTTCTTTTTTTTCCCCTTCTACTTTTTACCGTTTATCGGATTTTGCGGGAGGGTTCTTTTTTTCAAAAAAAAAAAAAGAGAAAACACTCTGAATACCTTCGAATGCTGCATGGTTTAGAAAGCTTTCGCACAGACAAGCACGTATACAGACATGGTATTTATCTCAAAACTTTTTTTTTAGTTCGGTTTTTTTTTCTTTAGATAAATCACTTTTTTTTATACACTGGCAAAAAACGAAAAAGAAAATTACCTGATTTAAATAATTCTTTACTGGTCTGTTATTCAATATTTCAATTATTGAAATTATTATTTCAATAACTGTAATAATTATAATAATAGTAATATTATAATTAATTAATTAATAATTATGATTTAATTATTATTAAATTATTAATATTATTATTAAATTAATTAATTTATTATGATATTATTATTTAATTATGATTTATAAAAATTATGTAATTGTAATAATTATTATAAATAACTACTAATGTTACGGGCGAAATATGATGTTCTATTTATTATTATGTAAATTACAAAATATTTTATTGACAAACATAAACTTCAACTTTGAAATAATTCCAGATTCAATCAAAATTTAAAAAATTCACTTATTAAGTGAATATTATTGTCTATTAATTTCAAAAATTTTAATAAAATTCATTGCAAGAATTCAATTATTTTCATAAATAATAACATTCTTTGGAAAAATTCAATTATTTTTTAAAATAGTAACATTTTTTTAAAGAATTCAATTATTTTCGATACAATTTTAATAAAATTTCACGAAAGGATTCAATTAATTTAAAAAATTTTTAATAACACTTTGCAAATGAATTTAATTATTTTCTACAATTTTAATAAATTTTTCGAATCTATTAACTTATTTTTATACATAGTAAAATTTTTCGAAAAACCTAAACTCTTTTTATAAATAATAAAATTCTTCTCAGGAATTCAATTGTTTTAAATTCAATAATCGAATTTTAAATTATAATTATGAACAGACACGATTATTTTGAAAAGTTGAAAAAACTTCTTTGTTTAATTCAATTACCTTCAAAATTTGCAATAATTTTAATAAAATTTAATATTAACATTATTAATTACAATTATTAACAAAATCTATTATATTAGAAAAGTTAAAGAAATTTTTAAAAAGAATTTAATTATTGTCAAAATCCTTATACTTACCTATTCTTCAAAAGAATTAAATTATTTTAAATATTTTTATAAAATTCTTTGAATGCATTAAATTATTTTAAAAAATTGTATCGAATACGATTCTGAGAAGAATTCAATTATTTTCTAAAAATTTTAATAAAATTCAACACTCAGATGTTTAATTTCAATTATTAAAAAACACAATTTTTTTAAGAACTTGAAAGAAATTTTTCATAAAATCCAATTACTTTCAAAATTTTTAATTAAAGTTATTAAAAAAACTCCATTATTTAAAAAAAAAAAATTTTAAAAGAATGTATTTAAGAATTTCAAAAATTTTAATAATATTCTTCGTGAGAATTCAATTATTTTCATAAATAATAACATTTTTCTAAAGAATTCAATTATTTTCAAATTTTTTGTTAAAATTCTTTGCAAGAATTCAATTATTTTCAAATTCTATTGACAGTAATTGAATTCCTATAAGAAAATTTTTTTTAGTTCGAAAAATAATTTCATTCTTGCGAAAAATTTTACTATTTATAAAAATAATTGAGATGTTTTCAAGAATTTTATTATTTATGAAATTAATTAAATTCTTGGGATAAATTTTATGTGAACTTTTGTAAATAATAAAGACAATAATAATTAATAACTTAATAAGTGAATTTTTGACGTTTTGAATTTGAAACTATTCAAACACTGAAGTTGACATTTGAAGAAAAAAATTTTGTAATTTGCATAATAATAATAAATTGAGTACGAAAACTTAAATGATTATTTAAATCAAATTTTTCTTTTCAGTGTACCTAGTTGAAAATTATTCCATTTTTTAATGACAATAGATTTAATTTTCTAGTTACCAAATTGCTTTAAATTTTTTTAAAATTTTCTTTTTTTATGATGGAAACAAAAATTTTTCTTTTAATTAATTATTTAACAATTGGCTTTTTTAAATTTTTGTATTTTCAAGAAAAGGAAAATTTTTTTCTTTCTTTTTTCAATATAAAATATAAATGAATAAATATTTATTTAATGTATTTGGTAATTGGTCTTCTGACTATTGTCTTCATTTGAATAAACAAATAAAAATAAATAAATATAAATAAATAATTATTTACTTATATAATCTTATTATTATTTATTTATTATTTTATTATTATTAATATTATTATTATTACTATTTAATGTAAATAAGTAATTGTTTATTTACTCAATAAATTTATTAATTAGTAAAAGTTCTGAACGTTCAAATGAATGAAATTAATTTATTTTTTCTTTTTTATTGCAATCAGTAATTTATAAAAATATTTTTAATAAAAAAATATTTCATTCATTTGATACCTATTTAAAAGAAAAATCGTATACATCATAAAAAAGGGAATATAATTCTTTAGATTTTATTTCTGCTTTTAAAAAGTAGACAATTTTTTTAATGTTCTTTAATTTCAATTAATTTCAATCAATTTTTAATTTTATTTATTTTTAAAATTAGTGTTATGACTTAGAGATCATTTTTTTTAGTTTCTAGATTTCATATTTCAGTTTCATATCTCAAAATGAGTTGTTTAAATATTTTACAATTATTATTAACAGTGTTTACTATTTGCTTATCAATTATTACCAATTAATTTCATTATTTAACTATTTAATATAGTTTTCAATTTTTTTTTTCTTTAATTAAATTATTATTAATGCCTAATTAATTTATAAAATCATAATAATACATATAGGTACAATATTCATTTATACAAAACAAAGAATCATACTCCAAAAGTGAAATATTTTTTTTTTGTGTTTAAAAGAATTACCATTTTTTTCGTAATACGGAAACTTCAAAAGAATACAAAAATTGTAATTAACTTTCTCGTACTAGACAAAATATTTTTTCTCCGTAAATGCTATAAGCGAATTTCCGAAGGAATAAAATTATCCTTATTTTTCTTGTGCTTTTTTTATCTGCTGTATGCAGCCATCTTTTTTGTATCAGCTTTTAAGGGGCAAAATACTGATTAGAAAGCTTGAAAAATAATTCTTTTTTAAACTTGCGAATCTTTCTCGTTAAATATATTATACAGTCTTTTTTATTTTATTAAGTATTTTTATTTTGTTATAATGAAAAAAGCTGTTTTTGATTTTATGATGAAAAAAGTTTTTTGGTTTTATAATGAAAAAAAGCTTTTTTGGTTTTATAGTGAAAAATAGCTTTTTTAGTTTTATAATAAAAAACAACCTTCTTTTGATTTGTTGAAGACAAAAAATTTCGTTTGGTTTTTTTAATGAAAAAATTTCTTTTTTTTTTGGTGAAAATTTTTTTTTACTTGAAAGAGCTTTTTTGTTTTCTTTAATGAAAAGAAATTTGTTCGAATGAAAAAAGTAGTTCTTCCCTAAAGGTGAGAGTTGTGCTTTTTTAAAAAAAATGGAAAACGCAGTGCGTGTCTCGAGCTTTGAAATTATTTAGGAAGACTCGATAAAAAAAAATTCTATCTCAAGTAGGTGCGAAATTATTCTGGCAAAAAAGGAAAAATAAAAAAACTATTCTGTCAGCTTCTCCTGTCACTATATTATAACAGCTAGCTAATCGCAGGCATGCAACGTTTACTGCATACTTCTATAAAAAAAAATTAAAAATTGAAAATAATTTCTTTCCCATTTTTAATGGACGTTTTTCGGACAAATATTTAGAATTAAATTAAACATTTTTTTAATATCGTATATATTAAACTTTTTTTTCAATTGAATGTACAACACATTTTCGTTGTATATTCCTCTCATTAATTTTTTTTCCACATATTATATCGTTTCTTACATATTTTTCTCAATATGTTTATAAGCTTAAGCGACAATTATGCATATTTTTAATAGGTATAATAATTCATAATTGCTTGGCCCCCTTTTTTGCATGTTTTTTTATAGCTTCGATTTCGAATTTTTTTACTTTCTTCATTTTTTCTTCATCTCTTTTCAAATTTCTAATTCTATATTTATTCGTTTTTGTTCTCGGTGTTGGTTAAATGTGAAACAATTTTTCGTAGTTTCAATTTCTACAAATTTTTTGTCTGACATTTTTTCTTAATATTTAAAGAGAAAAAATTAAATAGTTTCTTCATTTTCTTTCTCATTAAGAATTTTCTTGTTAAAAAAAATTTATTCGATCTTCTATATTTTTGATAATATATCTTTGCTCTTTTTTAAATTTATTCATTTCGATTTTCATCTTTCATCATTTTCTATGCTTGATTCGACAATAATTCGATAGATGAAATAAAAATAAAAATTTTTTTGCATGATTTCTTTCTTTTATTATTACTCGCTCGAAAATTAGTTTCAATTAAAATTATTGTATGGCGATTGTTTTTATCAGAAATGAAAAATTACAGTTTTCATTATTTTCATTGGAAAAACGGTAGATTAAATTTTTTCGATAAATTTTTTAATATTTTAAATATTTGATATTTTTGAATATTCTCAGTATTTTAAAAATTCTTAATATTTTTTGTATTTTTAATATTCCTAATATTTTTCGTATTTTTAATATTCTTAATATTTTTCGTATTTTTAATATTTGTAATATTTTAAAATATTTTTAAATATTTTTAAATGTTTTTAATATTGAAACAAATTTTTAATATTTTGTAAATTTTGAAATTGTCAGCTGAATTTTGAAAAATTTCATTTTTCACGTGAGATTGAAATTTAATAATTTTCTTAATTCCACAGTATAAAGATAAATATTCAAATGGGATTTATAATAAAAAGAAAGAGTTTAATATATTCAATTAGTTCTCAGTTTCATTTAGTTTTATTTAAATATTTTATTTAATAATTATTACAAAAAAATTAGTGAAGAATATAATTTGAAAAAATTTTAATGAAACTTTTGTATTTTATGTCATTTTATTATTATTTTGCGCTTATTTTGCGCCTCTTTAGTTTTAATTCTTTAGAGAGAAAATCAAATTCGATTATTTTATTGAAAAATAATTTTTCTAAAAGTATTTAAAATAAATTAAATTTTTTTATTAGAGTAATTTCAATTGTGTTATTAAAATAAATTGAATTTTGTAATTAAAATACTTTTAATTTGTAATTAAAGTAAATTTAATTTTGTAATTAAAATAATTCTAATTTGTAATTAAATAATTTTTAATTTTAATTTCGATCTAAAAATTTATTTCATATGAAAGATTTTCTCTCTGAACGATATTTTATTTTTAAAATCGCGCCTAAAAAATTTGTTTTGTAGGTATTTTAAAAAACCAAGTAGAGTAAAAAAATTAATAAAATTCTTTTACAAAAGTAGTTTATTTACAAAGTAGGCATGTTTTTTTTACATTAATTACATAAAAATAAGTAATATTTATGTATGGGAGATTACATAATATTCCCACGGAAAAAAATTCTCGAGACATTTGCGACATATCAAGTAGAGCACTAAAAATTTTTCTACTTTCCACTGACACGATACATGAATGAATAATAATTTGCAATTAGATTTTCAAATTTTCAAAAATTATTTTACGCACAATTTAAACAAATGAGAGCAGCAAGTTAAGAAAAACAAATTCAAGAAGAAGTTGTTAAAACAATAAAAATTAAAAAATAGTAAAAATTGAAGTAATAAAAATTATAACAATAAAAATTAAAGCAATGAAAATTGAAATAATAAAAATTGAAAGAATAAAAAGTAAAGCAGTGAAAATTGAAACAATAGAAATTGAAATAATCAAAACTGCAATAATAAAAATTAAAGCAATAAAAATTAAATTAATAAAAATTGAAATTAAAACAAAAATTGAAGCAATAAATTTGAAAAATATTAAAACTGAAACAATAAAAATTAAAACAACAAAAATTTAAGCAATAAAATTTAAAACATTGGAAATTTAGGCAATGAAAATTAATATAATAAAAATTTAAGCAATGAAAATTAAAACAGTAAAAATTAAAATAATAAAGTAAAATTACAAAAAATGTAAAGTTTAAAAAAAGGAACTAAAAATTCCTTTTAATTCGAAATTGTAAACAGTTGAATTTTTTCAAAAAGTCCAAAATACAAAAACTGGGTTTTTTTCTTTTTTGGGAAAATTTAAATCTTGCAGTAAATTTGATTTTTTTCATTTCTATTTTTAATTTGCTGGTCTCAATAACATTGTTTAATAAATGTTTAAAAAACATAAATTTTATTTAGTAATTAAATATTCAATTAAGATATATAATATATATAGAAAAAAAAATTATGAATGTGAGTGACGTGTGTGTGGCATGTACGCAGGCCCGGAAAAAGCGGCAGGAAGAGGTCGAGAGGGTACGAATGGAGGAGCAACAGCGGAAGCAACAGGTAAAATAAGATTTAATGTTCTTCTTAGTAAATAATGAAATATGCAGGGTAAAATTGAGAAAGCAATTTTTTTTATTGAGAAAAAGATAAGAGTCGAAGGAAATAAAGAATATTGTACTCTAAATTTCACAATTTTTACAAAGAATTTGAAAAAAGTTTTCTGAAGCAGTAATGCTTCAATGGAAATCGAGATAATTTTTTTAAAACAAAAAATATTGTTTAATAAACGTAAAGTATTGTTTAATATACAAAAAGTATTGTTTAATATACAAAAAATATTGTTCAGTATTTAATAATTGTTTAATAAGCAACAAATGTGTAATAACAAAAGTTTTGTTAATTAAACAAAAAATATTGATTGAAAAACAGAAACTGTTGTTCAGTAATAAAAATCTGTGTTTAAATAACAAAAAGTATTTTTACTATACCAAGAAATTGATTAAGGAACAAAAAACGAATGATAAAAAATATTTTGTTTATTGAACAGAAAATATTGTTCTTAAAAAAAAAAATGTTGTTTAATAAACAAAAAGTATTGTTCAGTGTACAAAAATTGTTTAATGAAGAAAAATATTGGTTAATAAACAAAAAAAATTATTTGTTAAGCAGAAATTTGGTTTAATAAACAATAAATATTGTTTCCTAAGCAAAAAATATTGTTTAATTAACAAAAAGTATTTTTTATACAAGAAATTGTTTAATGAACAAAAAATATATGATAAAAATTATTTTGTTTATTAAAAAAAAAATTGTCTTATAAACAAAAAATTCTGTTTAATAAATAAAAACCTTTGTATATTAATCAAAAATATTGTTTAATTAACAAAAAGTATTTTTTACTATACCAAGAAATTGTTTAAGAAACAAAATATGAATGATAAAAAATATTTTGTTTATTAAATAAAAAATATAGTCTGATAATAAAAAAATATTGATTTGTATACAAAAATTATTTAATGAATAAAAAATATTGTTTAATATACAAAAATTGTTTAAAGAACAAAAAATATTATTTGTTAAGGAGAAATATTGTTTAATAAACCAAAAAAATTAATAATATTTATTGCTTGATAAGCAATAAATGTTGTTTAATTAACAAAAAGTATTTTTTACTGTATACAAGAAATTGTTTAATGAACAAAAAATCTATGATAACAATTTTTTTGTTTATTAAACAAGAAAAATTGTCTGATAAACAAAAAATACTGTTTAATAAACAAAAACTGTTGTTTATTAAACAAAAAATGTATAATAAAAAATATTTTGTTTATTAAACAAAAAATATCGTTCTTTGTTGTTAAAAATGCTTATAAAATAATTTTTAATAAACAAAATAAACTGTTTGATAAACAAAAAGTATTGTATAATATAAAATATATAAATAATTGTTTATTAAACAAAAATAGAGTTTAATGTTGAAAAATTGTTTTATGAAACAAAAGTATTGTTTTATAAACGAAAAGTATTGTTGGATAAGCAAAAAATATTATTTAGTAAACAAAAAAAATATTGTTTAATATTGAATATTGTTTATTAAACAAAAAATATTTTTTTGACAAACAACAAATTATTGTCAACTTTAAAAAAATTATTTCCTCATAAAAAGCATTCATTGTCGACTAAAAAACAAATTTGTTTCTCTAAAACATATCATGCATATTCCATAATACACTAAAGCATTTTGCATATTAATGTGGTTAATTAAAAGCTTTTGAGCACGGTTAAGTTAATTTTCATTTCATAAATTTTTGGCTTTTTCTAACAATTTTTGATAATTCTTATAATCAATTAACAAATTTTAATTTTCATATGTCATTCATTTACGGTGGTCATTTTGTTTCCTGTTTTCGCAGGAGCGCGAACTTAAGAGGCAACAAGCTCTAATGCTGAAGGAACAGGTGAATCTCTTGATAAATAATAGAAGTTAAATAATTATTACTATTTTTTTTCTTTTTTTTTTTTTGTCTTTTTTTCTTTATTGAATATATATTATAGTCTCAAGTGTGTTGTAGATTTTAGTCTACATGTCTACAAATTTTTCTTCTGCTTTTGTTATATACATCACCAAATTGTTGTAGTTTTATGTTTCCTGTGTTTAATCAAGTAGTTACGTTTTTAATTTTTTTTTCTCAATATTGCAAATATCTATCGTTTATCATGAGTTTCTGGACTTTTGGTATATTTAATATAATAGTAGAGTGTACACTGTGTTGTAGATTTAGCGCTCTACTGAATTTTTTTTTTATCTTTTTTTTTCAATATCATCTTTATTCATTCACGTTTATTTTTCTCATCAAAACATTATTTTCATATCAATCAATCACGGATTTATCAGAAATTGTTTCTAGAGAATTTTTCTGATAAGTCGAAAACAAAAAATGCAATTTCATTTTCAAGTACTCAATAGTCTCTTTCAATTTTTTGATAAATAAAATGGAACTTTTCTAGAATTTCTTTTTCCTCGAGTCAAGAAAAATTTAATTTCTTTATTACATTTCTCTAAAAGATTTCTTTTTGGGGAAAATTTTTTAATTTCTGTTTCTCTTGTATGGGGGAATTTTTCTTTTCTTGACCTATTTTGTCTAAAAAATAAAAATTTGTCTTTTCGAAACTTTTTTTATCTGTATTTCCATTTTTTTTCACATAACGATTAGTTTCTCTCTCTCCGTCTTCATTATTTCTTTTTTTTTCTCAAAAAACGTGAATTGAATTTTTTCGATAAGAAAAATATTTTCAAAACAGAAAAAAGTTATTTTAATTTTTTTTCTAAATTACTAAACAAAAAGTATGAAATATTTTTACTACACAGGAAAAAGATATTTTGAAAAAAGGAAATTCCTTGAGAAAAAGAAATTTTGGTGTATAATTTAGAAAGAAATTTGTAAATAATTGTAAAAAGTAAAAAATAGAAAATAGAAAAAAATTTGGAAAAATTGAAAAAGGTGTTAATTAGAAAGAAAAAATTGAATGACAGGAAATAAAAAAATGATTAAAAATAAAAAGATGATAAAAGGCAAAAAAAGAGACTTAGGGAGAAAGAGATTATTACTTGAGTGTAGCGGTGGTTTGAGCACTGGTGGATTGGATGTGTTTTGTGCCGCAGATTTACATGCAGGAGCTCACCAAGCAGCGCGAGATGCTCTACACCGTCGAGCTGGTATGTCTCATACCTAACCTAAGCATAATCCAAAAAAAAAAATGAAAAAAACACTAACAAATTATTTTATCCAATCCCTAAATTTCAAAATCATGCTGAAATCTATCCATCAATTTCTCCAATTGCATCCCTAAGGCTTCACAGATTGCACTGATAACAAATTTTTACAGCTTCTTTTCTTCAGTTTTTAGTTACTTTAATCTCACTTTTATATAATTTGCAAAAAAAATAAATTCTCAAACAAATTAATATTCGATTTTTGTTTTAATAATTAATATTCGGTTTTTAATTAATATTCTGTTTTTTTTTAATAATAAATATTCATTATTTTTATAATTCACTTAAAGTTTCTCGATAAATGAAAATCAATCAACAATATTGTCTACTTTATGTATTAAAATAAATTTTTAATGAAGATTGTAAAATTGTAGAACTAATTTTTTTCCTAAAGTCTCGAACTTTCGAATAACGACGATTTTTTTCACTTCTTTTAGTTTATATTTTCTTGTACAAAAATTATTTTTTACGTTAAAAAAATCAATTCCAAACTATAAATAAATGTTGAGTTTTAATTATTTTTCTTTTTTTGTATAATAATTTTGGAAAAAATTTAATCAGAAAAATACGTTCATTTTAGGAAAATAATTTAATTTTTGTATAAAAATGAAAATGAAATTAAAAAGTGAAATTCGAAATTATACTTTTCATTTTATTGTAGTAATTTTTAAAAATATTTAATCAGGAAAAAGTTACGTTAATAATATTCAAATTTTCGATAAAATGGAAATTTAATTAAAAAATGAAATTCGAAATTATATTTTTCATTTTATTGTAGTAATTTTCAAAAATATTTAATCAGAAAAAAAATTACGTTAATTTGAACGTTCAAAACTTTAGGAAAGTAATGATAATTTAATTTTTCAATAAAATGAAAATTGAAATTCGAAATTGAAATACAAAAAAAGTAATTCAAAATTGAAATTCAAAAAATGAAATTCGAAATTGAAATTCAAAAAACGAAATTCAAAAAAAATAGCGAGATTTAAAGAAGCTAAGTTGAAAGAAAGAAAAATTTTGCCCCCGACTAACAACTTGGGAATTCCTGGACAATTTCTGTTTGTTTATAATGAAAATAAAAAAAAATTCCACCGCAAATTGCAATCAATTCATTAAAATCATCGATGCTTCTAAAATATAGTTAATAATTAAATTAATCTTTTGCACATTCATCATACAATTGTCTCGCGAAATGCATCGTTCACTGTACTTTCTTCTTGTATACTATTTGTTGCTTGATGTTTCTTTTTCGCTAATTCTCTTTTTTTTTAATTATAATTTGGCGCTTTTATGTCCTAGTTCATCTTTTTTCTCAAATTCAAAAAACCTTCACAGCAATTATTTCTCTAAATATTTGATTTTTTTATTTTTCAGGTTTTGTTTCATTTTACAAAACTGAATTTTATTTTTTATTTAAGACACTTCTTTTTTTATTTTGACATTTTTTTTAATGCTGTTCATTTTTAAACTGTTAAGGATTTACAAATTTTTGAGAAAATAAAGAAATAAATTTTTATTCTTTTAAAAAAATAGTATTTTATTTATTTTTATATATGAAAAATAATTCTTTGAATTAAATAATGTGTGTCATATTATGGAGTGAACTTTTTTTAACTGAATGCAGTAAAATTTTTTGTGAAATTCTCTGTTTTAAATGAATTTTCTATTCCGAGTGTTTAAATTTCTCAGAGTGATGATTGTAAATTTTTTCCAGTTTTCTATAGACTTTTATACAATTTTCATACAGTTTTCAACCAGTTCTGTATTAATTCCAAAAAAAAGTTATTTACAAACTTTAACGTTAAATGTAAATTTTTCTTTGTCACTAACACTAAAATTTTCATCTTGAATGAAAAATTAATCAAAGAGAAAACTTTATTATATTCAAATTCTTTTTACTTGAAGTAGGATTTTCCAAAATTTTCTTTATTTCTAAATTTTATACGAATTTTAGTTTTATTTTAATAAAATATTTTCTTTTTAGAGGAAAATTTTGAATGAAAGTATAAAAAAGGAAAATTAATGATTATTTTTATGTATATCAGGAGAAAGAGAGACGAAGACAACACATGACTTTGGTGCGAGCTCTGGAGAGTCGAAGAAAATTAGAGGAACGTGAGAAGAAACGTCTCGAGGCAAGAGCAGAAAGAATAGCGACAAAGGAAAAACGAGCAGAGCAAAGAAAAATGGAAATAGAATTGGTCGAGCAAATCAGAAAACCTATCGAAGATATGGAACTCACTGATCATAGAGACCTGCCGGATGTAAAACGTGTTCCGGGTCTAAAACTATCAGGAAAAGCTTTCGCCGATATTGTCATGGTATTTGAATTTTTGCACAACTTCGGAGAAACCTTGGGCTTTGGTAAGTTGAATTTTTATTTGCAATTAATTTTATTACCTGCTTTTTTATTTTTTCAATAGAGAATAAATTATTATAATTTTTACAGGGGTTGCCATAAGTCAGGTAATTTAGAGAAAAGTCAGGGATTTTCATTAAAAGCACTGAAAACTATTTTTTTCAATTTTGAATGAATTTAATTAGAAATTTGAAAGAACTTAGATTTTTGAAAAATTTTAATAATTAAAATTTTTCGGAAGCTAGTTCAATTTTGTAATATTTAATTAATTGAATTTTGTAGAAGTTAGAAAAAATTGCAGAAATACAATTAGGTACATTAAAAATAATAAAATTCTTCTCCGAAATTCAATTACTTCAAAAATTTTAAATAAAATTCTTGGTAAAATTTCACTTATTTTCAAAAATTTTCCTTAATTCAATGATTTTTAATATCTACTATTTCAATAAAATTTTCCAGAAGAATTCAATTATTTAAACAGAATTTTGATAAAATTCTATATTTAAATATTTAATTATTTAATAACATTTAATTATTTTCATAAATAATAAAAATTTTCCAGGAATTCAATTATTTACAAAATTTTTATAAATTTCTTCGCAGAAATTCAATTATGTTCAAAAATTACAAAAAATCCTTGTTAAAATTTCAATTATCTTTATAAATAATAAAATATTCTTTTCCGAAATTCAATTATATACGAAAATTTAAATTACGTACATTCTTGCCAAAATGATTTAGAGAAGAGTTTTAGTGAAAAAAAAAAAATTTTAATTTTAAAGAAGTTACAAATACTTGCAATTTTTAGAAATAGTTGAATTTTGAAAGGGTTTCTGATTGAAATCTTTGGAAATCTGAATTTTTAATACTTTTAATTAACAATTCTGAAGATCTAATTTTTTAAAAATTTGAATTCCACTTGTTTTGAAATTACTTAAGTTTTTTAATTTATATATATTTAATTATTAATTATTTAATTGTTGAAGATAGTTGATTTAGAGAAGAATTTTAGTTAAAAATTCAAAAAAATAATTGAATTTTGGAGAAGTTACAAATACTTGAATTTTTTCAAAAATAATTGAATTTTGAAAGGATTTCTAATTAAAGTCTTTAGAAATTTGAATTTTTAATACTTTTAATTAACAATTCTGTAGAAAAAAATGATATTTTTGTGGCAACCCTGTTTTAGACCCAAAAGTAATAAACAATTTGGATTTTTGTTTAAAAAATAAATTTAAATTTTCAGACATGGACTCGCTGCCAAGTTTGAAAAGTTTGCAAATGGCTCTTTTGAATGACGAGGAGGCCGAGGAGGAAATGTTATCTGTGATGACTCATTTATTAGTTTGCGCAATTGAAGATCCAGGAATACCGCAACCGGCCAGACATACGACAGGTTTAGGGCAGAGTCTTCGTCAGGCGGACATTACCCACGCGAATATTAGTGAAGTACTGAGGATTTATCTCTATGCAAATGCAACCGGTGAAGTGAAGGCTTTAACTGGCGTTTGCCTTGAGCGCGAGAGAGACAAGAAATTCGCCGATCATCATCAAAATGGTGCTGATTATGCTTTCACTTGTTCGGGAAAAAATGCTCAATTCTATGAGCATCTGCATAATAATGAGACGTGGAAAATGTCCGAACGATTACGCGATAAGCCATTCCTCGCCTTAAATTCAACACATAAAGCGCAAATGCTCGCTTTCCTTTGCAATGAATTGCTACAAAATAAGGCTGTGATCAAACAAATTGAAGGGAGTTTGGAAACTGTAGCGCAATTGAAAAAGGAACGATTTGTGCTTGACACGAAAATTAGGAAGTGAGTTTCCTTCATTTATTTTTTTACATTCTTTTAATTTTATTTTATTTATATTATTATTATTTATTATAATTTTTGAATAAATACAGATTCAAAATAAAAAAAATTCACTTATTAAGTACATAATATTAAATATTTTTGTTTATTATTATTCAAAAATGTTAATAAAATTCGTCGCAAGAATTTCATTATTCTCATGAATAATAAAATTCTTTAGAGCAATTCAATAATTTTCAGTACATTAATTTTAAAATTGAAAACATCTAAAAAGAAAAATTATTTAAAAATTTAGGAAACAAAAAAGTAAACAACAACTAACTTCAAACTGCGAACAAATTATCGGAATACGATTATTAATATAGATTAATGATTTCTTTTCAGATTGAGACAATTACACAGTCGAAAAGTGAGAATGGAGGCGGTGGGCGTTATTGTCAATAAGACTGGTGACACAATAACTATCGAAAAGAAGGAGATGGACGAGGAAGGAAACACAACATCGTCCGCAGTTGAGACAACATCAACTCCTGAAGAAATACATCACGAGGATGAAGTTGAAGACATGTCCGAAAACGAGAGTGAAGGAACTCAACCCGAAGAGGTAAATTTCAAAATTCTTTAATCAAAATAGAATTTTTTCTCTCTCTTCAAATATTTACGATTTTTATTTTTCCCATTTTCTCACATTTTTAATTTTTCAAATTTATTATTTCTCAACTATAGGAGGAGGACAAGAACTTATCAGGCGAGGAACTTGGCAAGAAACTCGATAAACTTCTAAAACAATCGGAGGAGCAATTGCAAAAATTGAACGGTTCGTCAAAACAATTGAGAGCACATGTTTTTGGACAAGATCGATATTGGAGAAGATATTGGGAACTACCGTGCGCTGGTGGAATATTTGTTGAGGCAATGGAGAGTGCAGAACCGGAGATTCTCGATCTTCAAGCGGAACTCGATGAGAAGTATAAGAATATGCCAATTGAGGAGAAAACCGAAGTCAAACAAGAGGAAGTGAAAACGGGAACAGAGAATCGTGAGAATGAAGCGCCAAATGAAGTGAAGGAAGAGCGTGCAGTGAATGTGCATAAAGAGGAGAATTTAAAGCCGCTCGATGAGAAAACCAAGTTTGATATTGATGATGTCAATTGTAAAAAGGAGGAGAAAATTAATTGCAATGCTGAGAATTCAAAACACAGTTTAGACGATTCGAAGAGTGACGTTGATACTAGTATGACGGACGCAAAAACAAATGTTACGTCCGAGGAAATTAAGGAGGAAACTGAAATCAAAATGGATGTCGATGTCAAGGAGGAGGATGTGAAAAAGGAAAAGAACGACGCCATATCACCGAAACCAATTGTTAAAATGATGGAGGACAAAATTGTTGAGGCTATTCCTAATGGTGATAAATTTAATCATGTCAATAATTTGCATAATGGTAAAGATGTCAACGGAACATTTATTTCGGGTAAGTTTTATTTTTTGTTTACATTTATTTTAATATTCTATTTTATTTTGGAGATATAGGGTAACTGTACCAATTGTCGAGGGTTTTAGGCAACATGTGACTTTGACATTTTTTTTCTCGGAAGTAAATGCACTTTAAAATTTGATTTTTGTATATTTGGACGAAGGATCTAATAATGTTTAATATTCATTTTTATTTTTTTAATATAAACTAAATTGTTAAGCAAAAAATATATTTAAAAGTCAATCGAGCAAAAGCACCATTTGTCGATGGTCTTGTGCTAATTTCTCGAGGGTCTGTTCCAATTGTCGAGGGTATGACATTTTTAAACATATAACCCAATATAACCTAACAATTAACCTGTACAGATATTAGAAAATCGAGTAGATATTTATTTTTTCGATAAAAATATTATAGAACATTACCAGAAAACAAATATATTTATTTAACTATAATTAAATAATTTATAATATCGATATAAAACATTTTTATAGTAGATGATACAGGACAGAAAATTATTTAACTGTTTTTTAAACTTTTATAAATAAGTTAATTAAATTTAATCAATTTTGTTAATCAGACATTAATTGAAAAAATAAATTAATTTAAGTCACATTAAATTTGTAAACGAATAAAATAAACTTTTATTACGAACTGTAAATATAATGGTTAATTATAATTAAACTATAGTACAAAATTTTTTAGTTTTAAATAATGCATTTTTTTATTAATTTTTTTTCCGTCTTCCTTGTTTTTTTTGGTTGATTATTTTCTGTTGGTTGTAAATTTTTGGAGCATTTTTTTTTCTTTTTCTCTGTACCTATAAATTTTTGGTATTTATGTTTGACGTTTAGTAAATAAACACTTAACCATCGATAAATGGTACATCAGCGAAAAAAGTGACTACACCAATTTTCGAGTCATTACCTCGAAAAATGGAACTGTCAAAAAAAAAGGAACCAAATACCGATGATTTGCTTTTAAAAAATATTAAATATTTTTTTTAACAAAAAAACATGCATACAAAATTAATTTGGTTCTTGTACAAAATTATAATAATAATTTTGTACACAAAAAGTCATTATAAATACGTTTAATTTGCATTTCTAAAAATCTGTTCCAATCAACCTGAAGTATTAAGAAAACGGAGATTCGTGTAAATTTCACAGCAGTGAATTATAATATTAATTAAATAATTATTTTAGTAGAATCGCTACGAAATTTGTATATATAAATATACAGTTGAAAATACAAAGATTATTTAGAAATTTTTTTTGTTCTTAAATATTATATATTATACTATTTATCTAAAAAAGAAAATTATTATCCTCGACAATTGGAGCACCCTCGGCAATTGGTGCAGTTACCCTAATCTCCTTTGTTTTATTAAAATTAAATTAATTTTTAGAATTAAAAGGTCTCTGAAATTAGCGTCAACGATAAAGTCAAATTCTTTTGAAATTACTTAAATTTTTTAAATATATATTTATTATTTATAGAATTATTTAAACATATTATTTAAACATATGTTGATAGAATTCTTTTTGTGAATTCAATTTTAAGAAATATTCTACACAAACATTTAAATATTTTCGTAAATAATAAAAATTTCACAAGAATTCAATTATTTGCAAAATTTTTATAAATTCTTTCTCAGAAATTTAATTATTTTAAAAAGTAATAAATTCTTCGCAGAAATTCAATTCTGTTCAAAAATGAAAAAAATTCCCAAGAATTCAATTATTTACAAAATTTTTATAAATTGCTTCATAAAAATTTAATTATGTTCAAAATTTTTTTAAAATTATCTTTATAAATAATAAACTATTCTTCTCCGAAATTCAATTACTTAAAAATTTGTTGATGAAATTGTTTATAAGAATTTAATTTTAAGAAACATTCAATTTTAATAATTATAATTCTCGTTGAACTTCGTAATAAAAATTGATTTAAAAATTAATTTCAATTAAAATTTTCGATAATAATTGAATATTAAAAGGATTATAACATGAATTTTTAGAAATAATTAGATAAATAAATTCTGAAAAGGTTTCCAATTAAAATCCTTGAAAATTTGAATTTTTCATACTTTTAACTATGAAAATTCTGTAGAATTAATTTTTTTTGAATTTAATTTTTTTGAATTTAATATGATTTTTTTTATATTATTTGAAGTTTTTATTTTCTATTAATATATATTTTTAATTGAAGAACTTCCGAATAATGGAAGTTTCGTAAAATTGAATTGTAATCAAATGAATTTGAAAATTCTCAAAGATAATTGACGTCGAGTTTATGGACCAAAATTAAATTAATACAAATAGAAGAAGAGAAATTAATTTTGTTTTTTTATAAAATAGGTGGATCTAATGAACCAAATTGGTTTTCGATACTTCCGCGTGAGACTTGCGACATTTCCGGACCAAGTACCAAGCAGATTTTCGGAATTGTCGAACCTACGGAGCTGAGAATACCAGTTTTCCCACCGCCCGCTAGTCCAAATTACGACAGATGTGACAGTCCAGCGCCTCTTGTTTTGACACAGGATGAAGCAACACAACTGGAGTACCTGAAAGTCCATGGCTTACCGCCTCCCGGGGAAGCAAAACCAGTGCCAAGCGGTAAATAAAATTAAAAACTTAATAATTCTAAGATAATTCAAAGATATTTCAAAAATAATTAAAAAAGAATTAAAAAAAGAATTGAAAAAGAATTAAAAAACAAGTTCAAAATATAAATAGGAAAATTATTCAAATTAGAAGTACTTTGATTAGAATTAATTAAAATATTAAAATAAATTAGAAATGTACGAAATTTTCATTTAATGTACAATTTCATCGAAAAGAAAAAATAAATAATTGTATTTCCCTAGATTTGCGATACGGTTGGTTCAGAATAACGGACGTGGACACTTTTCAAGAATTGCTGGAGCATTTACATTCGCGGGGTGTAAGAGAGAAGGAATTGAAGCGCACAACTTGGGCGACTATGGAATCATTCCTGGCAGTGACGGGGAAAATAAATGTCGATCCGGGAAATATGACAGCGACTGATATGAGTGGTGACGGTGATGGTGACGATGAAGATTTACCGATTCCAAAACCTGAAAATCCTGAGGATTGGTGTGAACAAGTGGCTCTACGGGTAGACGCTCAACTACTTGAACAAGTCGAAGCTCTCGAGGATAAAGTTGCGAATGCAAGTATGCAAGTCAAGGGATGGAAACTGCCACCAAGGGCCGGCACAGAGGAGGCCGAGGAACTTGAGAAACTTCATGAAATGGAGCAAGTCAGCGCCGTTGAACAAGCGCGACAAAGGTTACTCTCCCTCGAAGCGGCGATCGAACGACGATACTTGAAACCACCTTTGGGAATTTGGTGAGTTTGCTATTTATTTGCAACTGTAACTACTAAATTTTGAAGCCCAAACCTTCTTTTTGAAATTTAATGAAAACTAGCAACAATTCGCGCGCGGCTGACTTCTCGCTCAATTTTTTAAATAACATTAGCAATTTTAAAAATAATAGAACGTACAAATTTTTAATTCAAATTTTCTTTTATAAAAATTATATGTATATGAATTGGAATATAGTTTTAATATTATTATAATTATAATAATCATGTATTCTGACGTAGGGAATTCAGGGAAAAATCAGGAATTTTTATTAAAAGTTCTGAAAAAAAATTAAATTTTTAGAATTCATAAGAAAATTCTGAATTTTTGTGTCTTTTTTGTTAAAGAAAAAAACTCATAAACTATAAAATTACCACGAATTCTAATACAAAAGTTGCGTTTATAACTTTCATAAATAAATGAACTTCAAACGGTTTCAATTTGAAATTTTATTAAATTTCAATTTTGAATGATTTTAAATTTAAAACGTTTTAAACATTAACAATTTTAAAGAACTTATATTTTTGAAAAATTTTAATAATTTGAAATCTAAAATTAGTTAAATTTGTCAATAAATATTTAATTAATTATTAAAAATAATAGATTTATAGAAGAATTTTAGTTAAAAAATACTACAAAAAACTTGAATTTTGAAGAAGTTACAAATGATTGCAGAAATCCAATTATTTTCAAAAGTAATAAAATTCTTGTCACAAAATTCAATTATGTTCAAAATTTACAAAAAAATCTCGACAAAATCCCAATTACTATCTTTATAAATAAAAAAATTCTTCCTCAAAATTCAATTATTTTCAAAAATTTTAATAAAAATTTTTTCTCATTTCAATGATTTTCAATATCTACTATTTTAATAAAATTACCCAAAAGAATTCAAGTACTTCAAATAAATTTTAATAAAATTGTACGCAAACATTTAATTCTTTTCATAAATAATAAAAATTTCACAAGAATTCAAATACAGTCGAACCTGGATAAGAGAGAACTGGATAAGCGAGAAACCTCTATAAGCGAGAGTTATTTGCTGGTCCCGTGACTTAGACTTCTGTAGTTAAGAAACTGGATAAGCGAGAAACCTCTATAAGCGAGAGAAAATTGCCGGTCCCTTGAACTCTCGCTTATTCAGGTTCGACTGTATTTACAAATTTTTTATAAGTTTCTTCTCAATATAATTCAATTATTTTCAAAAATAATAAAACTCATTGCAGGATTTTAATTATTTTTAATACAATTTTAATCAAATTTCTGGAAAAATGTAACATATTTTAAAAAATTTTATTAAAATTCATCAAAAGAATTGAATTATTTTTAAACATTTGTTAATAAAATTCTTTATAAGAGTTAAATTTTAAACGAAAACTTTTTTAAAAAAATTAATTCTACAAAATTGTTAGTTAAATGTATAAAAGATTTTAATTTCTTTTCAGAATTCATTTATTTCTAAAAATTCACGTTATAATCCTTTCAATATTCAATTATTATCTAAAATTTTAACTGAAATTAATTTTTGAATCAATTTTTATTAGAGAGTTCAATGAGAATTATAATTCTTATAATTAAATGTTTTTTAAAATTAAACGCTCATAAAGAATCAACAAATTTTTAAATAATTAAATAAAATCGACGAATTTTAATAAAATTTTTTTAAAATAATTGCATTTTCGAAGGAATTCAATTAAAATTATATTGAAAACAAATTAAATTCTGCGATAAGGATTGTTATTTATCAAAATAATTTAATTCCTAAAGAGAATTTTATTGTTTATAAAAATAATTGAATTATTGGGAAGAAGTTTATAAAAAATTTGTAAATAATTAAATTTCGGAGAAGAATATTTTATTATCTATAAAAATAATTTAAATTTTAACGAGAATTTTTTTTTCATTTTTGAAAATAATAATTGAATCTCTGCGACGAAATTTATAAAAATTTTGTAAATAATTGAATTCCTGTGAATTCTTTTTTATTTTTGAACAGAATTAAATTATAAGAAACATTTAATTATTCAATAAATAATTTACTTTTGTATTTAAATAATTGAATTCTCATAGAATTTTCTAAAAAAAAATTGATTTAAAAATGAATTTTAGTTTAATTTTTATATAATAATAGAATATGAAAATAATTTTGTAGAAGTTACAGTAACAATATTCTTATAATATACAGTCGAACCTGAATAAGCGAGAGTTCAAGGGACCGGCAATTTTCTCTCGCTTATAGAGGTTTCTCGCTTATCCAGTTTCTTAACTACAGAAGTCTAAGTCACGGGACCAGCAAATAACTCTCGCTTATAGAGGTTTCTCGCTTATCCAGTTCTCTCTTATCCAGGTTCGACTGTAAAATAATTATTTTAACACTCGATCCTTTTTAATTATTATAAAACATGAAGAAATTGATTGCTCCGAGTCGAAGACTCTTCATGTTTTATAAGAAAAACTATTTTTATAAGTTATTGAATTTTAAAAGGTTTGAATTTGGAATTTCCTTCTTCTTAATAAAAATTTTTTAACAATTAACAATTTTCTACTATTTTTTGTAAATAAAAAGGAGAATAATTTGCGTAATAATTTAGATCATTCAATCGAAATTTGTTATAGAAAAAAGCTATAACAAACAAAATGGGTATATTTTTTATTTGTTAGTCATAATTGTTTAGAAATTTTCTAATCTCTAATAATATTTTATTATGAATCATGAAAAAATACCTGCATATTTTCGATTACGGAAATTATTATAAATTTTAAATCATGAAAAAATACCAGCATATTTTCGATTACGGAAATTAATATATTTAATTTATTGTTTTTTGAAAAATATAATAGAATTCTTCAAAAAATATGATATTTCAAAAGAAATGTAATAAAATGAAATTATTAAAAAAAAAGAAAGAAGGAAATTAAAATAATTTTGACGAATTATTAGCACTGGAGATCCGAATTTGGCGGCACTCAAGGCGGAGCAAGCGGCTGCAGCTGCGGCGGCGAATTCACATTCATCGGATCAGACACCACCGCCACCGCCACATGAGGAAACAACACCGAGGGGTTTAAACAATTGGCGTGAAGCAACGGCACGCGCCCACACCTCGGCTCAATTGGCAATGGCACTCTACATGCTGGAAGCGAGCATCGCCTGGGACAAAAGCATCATGAAGGCTGTGAGTCAAAAACCAGCTAGAAAACCAGTCAGCTCGAAACAACGAAATCGCTCCGTCTCACTCAAAGCTACCACTCAGTACAAACAGCTATTGACTACTACTCAGGCCTCTGTGGGTATCCCGGCTAATAGTACTAACCGGACTCTCCCCCTTCTAACCCCCTTAATCTTCCACCTATTTTTCACCTAAAGAAATTATTATATCTGTTACCAAAAAAAAAAAAAATTCCTCTCGTGTTCACTGCTTTCGATAGTGTGAGCACTCGCTAATTATTTTCAAATTCGTCTCTTATTTTTGAATTATCTTTCAATTAGGTATTTTTTTCTCTTTTCTTCTTTCTTTCTATTTTTTCTTTCCTTATTTTATTTAAATTTGTTTATTGTCCATAATTTAGTTCATTTTCTGTTTTTAGTATTTGTTTATTTATTTTACTTCTTTTCTTTTATACTTTTTACTACTTCGTTTCTTCTTTTCTTTGAAAAGTTTTTTAATTTTTTCAAAAATTAAAAATAGTTTTTACAAGACAAAAATTTCAAAAAGCGTATATATGTACATTTTTTAAATAGAATTCTATGTTCAGTTTTTTATTCTTTTTTTAATTATGATTATGATTACTTTTTAATATATGATTATTTTTTTTTATTATAATTATTTGTAAATTATGATTTATTATTATTATTATTATTAGTTTCGATTATTTTTCTTTTTCGATTATTTTTGATTATTTTTCTTTTTAGATTATTTTTTTTTATTATTCGGATTATTTTTGATTATCTTTCTTTTTCGATTATTTTTTTATTATTTCGTTTTGAAATTAAATTTTTATTGATTTTACAATTAAATCTGCTTGAAGGCAGAAATTTCTTTTTTCAATCACGTATTTTTCTGTAAATTTCTATGTAACACCTATAAATATATCATCTAAGCGGTGCCTACGAAAACCTAAACAGTTTTTCAACCAATGATTATTAATATTATTATAAACGTTCAATTATAATTATTCGTTGAAGACAAATTTTCCCTTTTTATCACACAACTTTCATCCATTTACCTTTCCATGTCTCTGATTCTAAATTTTAAACAAATAATAATTTACTTTCTATAAGCAAGAAAGTAATAAAAAATTTTCTTTTCCGATAAGCTAATTTTAATTTTCAAAATAAAAAATATTTCTATATAAAAATTTATATAAAAATATTTTTTTATTATATGAAATTTTATTTTATCTTATTAGTTCATTATGAAAATTTGCTTATTTTGATAATTTTGATTAAATATGTTATTTTAATTTATTTTAATAATTTAATTAATTTTTATTAATTATTTTTAATTATATTAATTATTATTAATTACTATATTATACTTATTAGTTCATATATTATGATTATTATTAATTATTAATTTCATTATGATTATTGATTATTAATTGTACTATAATTATTAATCATTAATTGTTTTATAATTATTAATTCATAATTATCAATTATTAATTAATGTATAATTAATAATAATTATAATATTTATAATTTGGTTATAGATTGAATTTATATTTCAGTGTTTATTATTATGACAATTAAGAGTCAGTGATTTGTAACAGAAGGCCGAGGTATATGTCGATATAAAACTAGCATGTTAACAAATATCAAGTTTTAAAGCTTCTACGCCTTTTTTTTCTTTAACAAAATTTTCCTCTAAAATAGGTTAATAAATTAACCTTGATTGAAATCAGTAAATTCAATTTTTATCATTGCAAAATATAATTTATCTCTCTCTCAAAATGCTTTTTCTTGTTCAGTTAACATTTTCTTCATTAAACACTTAATTTTTGCTTTTAATTTGCTTATCTTGGCACAAGCTCTACACGCCTCTTATTTTTGTTTCTCATAAAAACAGTGACACTCTCAAGAAACACTAATCACTACGCAGAACAATTATTTTTTGCATGCTTATTATTCTAATATGAGGATCCAAAATTATTATCTATTCTTCACTTAAAAATAATAATAATAAATAAACTGGAACATTTTCTCAAAAAAAAAAAAAAAAGAAAATGGAAAATTTATGTTAATTTTACAATTTTATTGAATTATTTTTATTATTTTGAGTATTTATATATTATTGAATTATTTTCGTGTTTATATATTATTGAATTATTTTCATGTTTATTTAATTTGAATTTTAATTTATTGGATCCTTATTTATAAAATAATTAAAATAATGGTAACTCAGTTCGCTTAAATGCTGATATTATAAATTTGAATATTGTTTTCTAGATAAACAATAAGAATTTCTGTTTCAGAATTGTCAATTTTGCCATAGTGGCGATAATGAAGATAAATTGTTGCTTTGTGACGGCTGTGATCGCGGCTACCATACTTATTGTTTCCGTCCAAAAATGGATAACATTCCTGATGGAGATTGGTGAGTTTATTGTATTCTTCAGAATTAGTAGTCTTTTCTTACCCTTTCAATATAATTTTTAATTAATTTTAATTTTAACTTTTATTTTTATTTTTAAAATTTTAATCTTTAATTTTTAATTTTTAATATTTGACTTTAAAAAATTTTAATAATATTAATTAGAAAAAAATTGCAATAGACTTATTTGGATTGAAATTGTCTCTTATTTATTATTACTAGATTACTAGATTATTTTTATTATTTATTATCATTTATTTATAATTAATGATTAATTGTTCGATTTTCGACAGGTATTGTCATGAGTGCATGAATAAGGCGACCGGCGAACGTAATTGTCTAGTGTGCGGAAAACGCGTTGGCAAAAATTTGGTGCTTTGTGAATTATGTCCCCGGGCTTATCATACCGACTGTCATAATCCTGTAATGCCAAAGGTATTGTTCTGTCAATTAATAATTTCATTTACAAAAAAGATTTTCCAAAACTTCTGAACGTTCAAATTTTCAGAATATTTTTCACTATAAACATTGAAAAAATTATTATTGATTGGATTAAAAATTAAAAAACTAAATTAAATACTTCGAAACTTAATTATTACATCCACGAACTATTTTTCAAAAAGTAACGCAAAGTTCCTATAAAATTTGAATTTTGTTAATTTGAACGTTCCAAACTTTTATATTATTGAGAGCTAAGACTTAAATAAATAAATAAATATTACTAAAAATGTTGTTTAAAAAAGAAAAACATTTAAGATTTATTATTGAATTAAACATTCTTGCTTATTATTATTCAAAAATTTTAATAAAATTTTTCATAATCAATTTCATTATTCTCATAAATAATTATATTTTTTAGAGCAATTCAATTGTTTTCAATACAATTTTAATAGAATTTCTCGAAAAAATACAATTATTTTTAAAAATATTAATTAAATTCGATTATTTTCAAAAATTTTAATACAAATTCAATTATTTTCGACAATTTTGATGAAATTCTTTTAAGAAATTCATTATTTTCAAAATTTTTAATAAAATTCCTTCAAAAAATTTAACTATTTTCAAAAATGCAGATAAAATTTTTCGAAACAATTCAATTATTTATATAAATTGTAAAATTCTTGTCACAAAATTCAACTATTTTTGTAAATAATAAAATTCTTCTAAAAAATTCAATTATTTTCAATACAATTTTAATAAAATTTCTCCGAAGAATACAAAATTATTTTTAAAAATATTAATTAAATTCGTTTATTTTCAAGAATTTTAATATAAATTCAATTATTTTCGACAATTTTGATGAAATTCTTTTAAAAAATTCATTATTTTCAAAATTTTTAATAAAATTCCTTCAAAAAATTCAATTATTTTCAAAATTTTTAATAAAATTCCATAAATAAATTCAATTATTTTCAAAAATTCAGATAAAATTTTTCAAAACAATTCAATTATTTTCCACACAATTTTAATAAAATTTCTAGGAAAAAATTCAATTATATTCAAGATAATTTTAAAAAGTTTCTCTAACAGGTTCAATTATTTTTAATAATTGTAATACAATTTTTCTAAACAATTCAATTGTTCGCAAAAGTTTTTAATAAAATTCTTTTTAAATTTAAATTATTTTCAAAATTGAAGGGCTACATAAAATAAGGGGACGAACGCGAGGCTTGGAAGGGATACTGCCAGTCGGGTAGCAGTGACAGGCCTTGAGCCGCTCGCTGCTACCTGACTGATATTATCCCTTTCGACCACGCGTTCGTCCCCTTATTTTATGTAGCCCTTCAATTCTTAATTAAAAATATTTTCAAAAATTACATTATTTTTATGAAATTTAATTAAATTCTTAAAAAAATGTAATTATTTAAAAAAAACTTTGATAAAATTGTTTAAAAGAATTTAATTTTCTATGTACCTATAATTTTAATATAATTTAATACGAAAATTATTAATTACAGTTAATGATAAACACGATTATTTTAAATACTTAAAAGAAAATCTTCATAAAATTCAATTACTTTCAAAATTTTCAGTAAAAATTATTGTAAAAAACTCCAATATTTTCAAGAAAATTGAAACAAATTAAATTATTTGTAATACAATTTTAATTACATTTTCTCGAAATGACTTCAATTATATTCAAATTTTTTTGATAAATACTTTGCAAGAATTCAATGATTTTTATTACATTAATTTTAAAATTGGAAACATTTAAAAACAGATTACCGGAATACAATGATTATTAATATATATTTAACGAAAATTTGCAGATGCCGAGAGGAAAATGGTACTGCTCAAATTGTCATAGTAAGCAACCAAAGAAAAGAAATAGCAGTCGTCGAAGTCATTCTAAAGGAGCAGCAGGAGCGGCAGCTGCAGCAGCAACGTCAACAGCAGCAACAGCAACACCAGCAGCTGGAGCAGCAGCAACAGGAGGTGAGAAAGGTGGAGGAGGAGCAGCAGCAGCAGCAGCACCAGGAGGAGCGACAAGCAGAGAGAGTGAAAGTTCTGATCATCCACCAGCTAGGTGATTAAGATAAAAAAATCCCTCCCCCCAAAAAAAAGAAACGTCAGCCCTTCGGTTCAATGTGCTTTTCGAGACTTGTCCTCGCTGTTTCTCGTAAAATTGATATATACATTTATGATTAATCTTTTCGTATATTTTGAAAGAAAAAAGAAAACCGAAATCTGAATTCATTCTGCGTTTAGTTAATTATACACTGTTTTTGTTACGTGAAACAGCGCTAGCGCTGCGCTATGCTAGAGTACTTAAGGTCGACGAAACGAGCGTTGTATCACCGGAGTGTCTGTAACTTCAAGAAGCTTTTAGTAGCTGGTACATTAAATGATAAAAAAAAGCGACTCATGTGTTTAACTTGTGTGTTATTTTGCGCCGTAGTCCAACGCCATCGACTGCATCCAATACTCATGCGGAGGACGTCAGCTCATCGGAACCACCAACGCCCACGCCATCGCCGAGAAAGGAAGCCAACAACCGGACATTGACGAAAAAACAACAGCGAGAAATTGCTCCATGCAAAGTTCTACTTGAACAACTGGAACAACAGGACGAAGCATGGCCCTTCCTCTTGCCAGTCAATACCAAACAATTTCCGACTTACAAGAAAATTATCAAAACGCCCATGGATCTCAGTACGATTAAGAAAAGATTACAGGACTCCATGTAAGTTTATTTTTACTTCTTTCAGGAGGTTTTTCCAGCTCTTTTCATTATTTCATTTATAATTCATTAATAATTACTTATAGCCAAATTATTTCTTTTTTTTACTTTTTGAATTAATTTCTATAATTTGCATTTTTAACTTTTTCATTCTTTTCTTTAATTTTCTTTTTTATTCCGAAATATAAATAGTCGCCTTTCATAAGTGTATTTTTATTACCTACATTTAGTGTATTTTAATTACTTTCTAGCATAAAATTAATTCCCTTTCTACTCCGTAGTTAATCGCGTGGTTTCAGTTTTTCAGTTTTGAAAATAATGAAGAAAAAAAAATATAAAGAACTTTTAAATTTAGAAATATATGGTTTTCTTTTTATGTTTATTAACATTTCTTTACTTATTTGCAGAGGGAAATGGATTTTTCGGGGGCAAAAAATGATAAATCCGTCACTGATTTAAATGAATAGCAATTTTTTTTTTTTGCTAATTAGTCGATTTTTTACTAATTCAAGTTTAATTTAATTTCGAGCAGTAATAATTTTTGGATACGGAATAATAAATACAAAAGTGCTTACTTTAAGCAAAAAATATTCCAAATTTAATATGATGCATCACATTTTAAGAAAATAATTTACAAAGTTTCAGTTTTTGTTTAAACGTTTTTGATTTTTATTACAGTTTGTATTTTTTGAAATTATTTCTACAAAAAAAAAAAAGATTTCGTTTTTTTTATTCAATTTTTGAATGTCCAAATGAATGAAATGTTTTCTATTATCAATATTTTCATAAATTATTGATTGCAGTAAATAGTAAAAACATAAATTTGATATTTAAAAACTTTATAAATAATTATTTGATAGTACCGTTAAATTATTGTAATACAAATACAAAATACAAAAAACAACTGCAGTTTTTCTAAAACTCAGTTTCTCTTTTTTTATTTTCTAAACCTTTTTTCCTAATGAAGGTTTAAATTTCTAGAATTTCTTTTTCTAATGAAGGTCATTTTCTAACAAATTTTTTTCTAACAACATTGAATTTCTACTAATAAATGCAATTTAATTAAATAAATTAATTTGAATTATAGAATTATAAAATTTAAAATTAGAAAAATATATTTTTATTATTCGCAAGAAACTTCAGAGAAGTCTAAACAATTGAGGAGCAATTTTTCAAAAGTTGATAAATCAATTTTTCAAAAAAATTGAGATAAATACATATTCAAAATATTAAAATCCTTAGAAGTCAATTTATCACTGTTCATTTTAGAAAGAAAATTTACTACCAAAGAATTTTCAATTTAAAAAATATTTTGGCCTATCCTTGATGATTTTTAGTTTTAATTTTTTAATTAGAAAAAATTACCAAAACGTTTAAATCCCCTTATTACAATAAACTTTAATTACAAAATGAGCATTTGAAATAGAAAAAATATTCAAAAATGTATAATTTATTGCAATTTTTCTACATTAAAGTTAATTTTAATGGTTATGTGAGAATTATCATTTGTTTAAATTTCTCAAAATGACAAAATTTGGATTTATCAGGTTTAAAAAACTTACTTCTCAATTTTTTTTTGTATGTTAAAATTGTTTTAACTAAATTTCAAGATTATAAATTTGCAGGAAAAAAAGTACTTGTCACAACATAATTTATTGGTAAAAAATTTATTTAAAAATATTTATAAAAGTAATTATAGGAAGAATTATAAATGTAATAATAAAAAAAATTAAAAATAATTATGCTTTTAGAAAAATTTTAGAATTTTAGAAAAATTAAGAAAAAATACATTTTAGAAATCAAAACTTGTTAGAAATTCTAAAATGAATTTTAGAAATCAAAACTTAGAAATTCTAAAATACATTTTAGAAATCAAAACTTAGAAATTGTAGAATAAATTTTAGAAATCAAAACTTGCCAGAAATTGTAAAATAAATTTTAGAAATCAAAACTTGTTAGACATTTTTTTTTAAAAATCAGAACTTATTAGAAAAATATTGTTTAGAAAACTGATTTTATTAGAAATCGTTTTTTTTTAGAAAGAAAGGATTAGAAAATATTTTTTAGAACAAAGTGACCACCTACCAAAATTTTAATTGGAGAAGAAATAAATAAATTTTTACCATTTGAACGTTCAAAATATTAATATTAATAATATATAAATAAATAAATGTTATTGAATACTGTTATTAATATTATTAATAATTATAAATTTGATTGTTATTTATAAATATTACAAAATATTTAATTTTTTCGCAAAACAAAATTGTTTTCGCAAAGAAAAAATACGATTTGTAGTTTAAAATATTTAAGAGAAAGCTGTTTATTTTTTAAATGAGTTTATTAATGGTAAAGATTTCGAATTTATTTTTATTTAATTCATCTAATTTATTAATTAAACGAAAACAACATTGAAATGTGAATTTTTTCTATTTTAGGTACAAGTCGCGAGATGATTTTTGCGCCGACGTGAGACAAATGTTTATAAATTGCGAGATTTTCAATGAGGATGACAGTCCAGTTGGCAAGGCCGGTCATGCAATGCGCAACTTTTTCGAAACACGATGGACCGAAATTACTGGCGCTCCACCGCCACTGCCACCACCTCTTCCACAAACTCACAGCTGAGGTTCAGCACGCGCTCGCAACAGCTGCAACAGTTTTGCGCACTTCTATTACTGAAAAGCTGAACGCGAGTGGTCCACATGATTATTCAAATTCAAGATTTCATCTGTTTTTTTTTTGTTTCGTGGATCGCGTTATAGCGGTTATCCATTTATAAACCACCGGCAGATAATTTTTTGCAATACGCTTAAAAAATCGAACGGATTTTTTTATTTATTTATTTTTCAGTTTTTTTTTCATTTTTTTTTTTTGACCTCTCAATTCTGTATACGGCATTAGCGTTCACTTGCCGATTTTCATATTACTATTACTTATATTTTCTCCTTTAAAACAAATATACTCTCTTATCAAGAGACTGCTTTTGATTCATTTGAATCAACTTTAGATTTTTAAAGTCTGAACTTTGTAATGTTTCTTTCGTTCTCGAAGGTATATTATACTTTTTTTTTAATTTAGAGACACATTTCATTGTTTTTAGTTACGATTAAAGAAAACGAGATTCATCAAATTATCATTTTTCAAGAAAATAAGCAAGATTTATTTTTAATTGATGAAATGCGTAAAAATTGTTGGTAAAAATAATTAGAAAATTGTGTGAGTGACAATTTTTTCACTACTTTGTAAAATGATTTAATGATTAATATTGATTGTTGAAAAATGATAATGATGAAGTAGAAAAAAAGAATATTGATAAAAATTTGAATTCAACCGATAGCCGGTCGATGTACTTATTATATACACACACAAGAGTGATTTCTACCTGAAAAGGGAGGGATTGTGGAGAGATTCCGGGTTATATTAAATATAGTCGTAGTGCCGATGGATCTTCGGTTTAAAGAAATATTTTGCAAAATATAATAATTAATTGTGAAAAAGAAGATGATATATATGTGTATAAATATGTATATTATACAGTGTATAGATATGCATATAGTCGATTAATTAACAATTGTAACGCACTCACGCTCATCGAAATTCGAGCACCGATATAAGGAAATAAAAAGGGTAACGACTGTTTTCGAAACTAAAATTCTAAGCGAATGAGATTTATTAAAATAGTCTAAGAACAAAAATTTAACGCCATTCCATAACTTTCTATTGTCGCTATTTAAGCTTTGGATTGTCGCGATTGTATTAAGAAGAAGAAAAAAAACACAAATGAGACGAATCGACAAAAAAGTCCATTCCTCATTTTTATAATCGAAGAAAAAGGCAAGATGAAAAAGAAAAACAAAAAGAGACGTATTAAATCACAAGTTGTCAGTATTTGTAATAACGTAAAAAAAAATTCAAATTTCGCATTAAACTTACGATGAAAAATTCATGCAAAGAATGTTTTCTCATATAAAACTCAAATATTGATAACACTTAAATTATCATAATTTGTACATACAACTCTGAAAAAAAAAATTTTTTGCGAGTAGATCAAAAGAGTGTGTGTATGTATATAATGCGTGTGTGTGACGATTGATGGCAAAACTTAGTATTTTTACGAAATTGACTCTTATTTGTAAAGTATTAAAAGAAACGAATCGAAAACTAGGGTGCAAACAATTTTAACAAAACGTTAAAAAATAGTTACTATATATAAAAAACAAAAATCTAATTTTGACAAATGGTTTTCAAGAAAAATTAAAACTTTTTAAACATTCGACTAACATTTTCATTTTTAAGAAAAGATTTCCAAAATCATTTAACAAACAAAAAAAGCAAAAAATGAAAAAGTAAAAAAAAATTAGAAATTAAGGCGTGAAACTTAAAAAAAAAGTATTTGGATCCTAGGATTATTTCGCCAATCACTAGTGTGCTTGCGTGTGCGTGTGTGTTTCCATTGATTGGAAAGTGTTTTGTTATAAATAGAAAAAAAAATGATACACGTTGATTACCGAATTTCATGATTAATGAACAAAAAAAATGAAAATGTAAAAAAAAACCGACGTCCAATTTTTAATCCATAAAAAGGACTTTTTCAAAAATAAAAAATATCTTCGAATATTTGTCGAGTGGGATTAATAAAATGAAATTGCCTCGACATTTATTGAGAGATCGCGAACCAACGAATGCGACTACTTTTTAGCAGAGAAAAAAATAATACAAAACTCTTTTTTTTTTGTCGCGATGAATAAGGAAGAAAAGGAAAAATGTTGACTCGACATTTGACGTCTTGTTTTATATGTATCTAGTTGATGTAAATTATTTCCGATAACGATTGAATATTAAAATAAACAGTTATCTTAATACTGTAACGTTAGTAGAGAATAAAAGTATTTGCACGAGTAAAAGAGTACTAATACCGAGACAAAGCCTAAAAAAAAGAGAGCACGCAAGGAATGTGCGCCTGTAAGAAACGATGTACTGCGCCAATTCGAAAGTCAAAATAATAATTGAGTTCGTGAAAGCACAACGATAAAAGTCGTGTATTCAATTTATTTCTTTATATTAGTTTTTACCACGGTTTTTACCATTTCTCGTTTTCTTTTCTTTTTTTAATTCTTTTTTTTTAATATAAATTTAATAAAACTTTTTTATTTTTAATCCAATCGGCTGTGCATCGGTTCTGATGCCGACATTCTGATTAGCGTGTGATTTGCCATTTCGCGTTTAGTGTAATAGCGAGCGTGTGTTCGTCTGAAAGCCGATGACAGGAAAAAAGAAAATTTTTTTTTCCTTAAAGTTTAATTATTTATCTTGGTAAATTAAAATGAAAAATCGTTAGATAATGACGCTTTTTATACGAATTTTGATTTTTAACATCGATCTTACGGTATAATTATAGTGTAATAAATATTGTAATAGCAAACGCAGTAAACGATCACAATAACGATTGCCGTAACGATTTTAAAAGTAAAACGAAAGCGTAATGATGGGACGATGAATATAGAAGTATTGATTGTCTATATAGTATAAAAAAACATAAAAAAAAAATAAAAAAAAAATGAAGGTTTACGTTAGGTGACCTTGCAATGCTATTTAAACAGACTTAATTAATGTATTGCAAAAGAATTAATAAAGTGTAAGCGAAGCGTGTAAACAAAATAGAATTGTTTTGTTACTTGTAAAAATTTTTTTTTTTTGCGTTTTTCTTACTTTTTTCACATATATCTTTTTTAAGAGACTTGACCTCTTTTTAGCATCGCGTTTGGTTGTTTTTCTCTTTCTTTCTTTCTTTTCTTTCTCTCAACTCTTTTTTTTCTTATTCTTTTCTTTTTTTCAATCTCAGATCTATTTACGCGTTTACGATAAGGTCTTGTGTTTACGAAACAAATAATACCTCGTTGTAGCTTCACTTTCACTGAAAAAGTGATTAAAAATACACTCTTGTGATTCTATTAAATTATTCTCTCTAGAGTATTAAATATTTCTGTCTTACATGTATAGTTTTCTTTATTTTCCATACGTTATAAATAAGCTCTTTTTAAATCTTTCCTAATATTTCATTTTCTATTTATTTATTTATTTATAATATATGTTCTCATGCATATTTTATAATTTAAAACTCTTCTCGATATTTTCATTTCCTACAACTATTTCTACTGTTCTCTTATTTCTCTTATTTTAATTTATCGTCACAATTACAAATTTGAATCATTTTTCTTTGTAAAAATATTTTTATGCTTTTATTTTTAATTTAATTCTTAATAATTATTTATTACTAACAATTCATTTATTCTATAGTAAAAATCGTAAAAATTTAGTACATTTGTTGTATTATTATTATTATTATTATTATTACTATTAATAATTCTTATTTTTATTATTATTATTATAAATTATTATTATTATTATTATTATAATTTTATCAAAACCTTATAAAATAATAAAATAATTTGATCAATTTTCAATTTTAATTATTTGATTCTTTTTTTCTTTAAACGTTTTCTAGTTTTACCAAGAAAATTCAAATATTCCCGCAAAATTTTGTTTTGATAAAGGTGCGTGAACAACAAAGTATATATAACTTCATAAAAAAAAAGATCAAGGCAATATTTTAAAAAAAGAGTTTTAAAAAGTGTGTTCCTGGTTTTTTTTATGAAGAATTTTCTATATAATACATTTTGTAACAACTTTGATCTACATATTTTAACTTTCAAAAAGGTGATTCATCAATGATGACGAAATGGTAATTAGTTTAACAGAGATCTTTATTGCCGATACACTTGTCAGAATAAGTTAGGTTGCGTATTGGTCGTGGAAAAAGAATATATATTTTATCCCGGGAAAAATAATATATTGTACTGATTACAAGCTTTATATTGTTGGTGTTTGTACTGTTACTTGTTGTGATAGGCGATTATGTTGTGTTGCGTGTAATTTTTTTTGTTTATGCTTATGTGCATTTTGAAAATAAGTGCAATGACGATTTTCAGCAAAAATCTTTACAGTGAAGTACACCGTAAGTATATTTCTTTTTTTTTCTTTTATTTTTTCCATAAAATATAGTTTTTTTTAGGAAATAATTCTATAAATGCTTTTTGTAATAGTTAAGAAATAAATGAGGTGACTCATCATGTATGTTAAAAAAGATGAACTTATTGTTCGAAATTTGAAATTTATTCAATTTATTATTCATAATTTTTTATGGCATTTTTATATTCAGTGCTCGTTTTTGCCCATTTAGAGAAACAATTTTTTTTTTTGACAAATTTTTGAAAAGAGAATTACTATAAATTCCTGATAAATAATTGTGTATATTTATTATATTTAAGTTATGAGAGGTTAGGTCACATTTGAAAGTTTATTTCTTGCTTCTTTATTTTATCTTTTATTGTTAGTTTCTATTGTTTGCAATTCTTTTTTGCCTTTTTTTCAAAATGCACATTATTTGCATAAGAATTTGAAAAATGTGATATTGCTAATTGTCGGATTAAGCTAATTAAAAGGAGAAAAATATTACTATAAATCAGGACTGAATCAACAAAAATATTTTTATCAAAGTAAACAATTATTTGATTTCAATTATTTTTATAATTTTAATGTTTGATGGAAATTTTTCGAATTGAAATTTTTGTCGAGTGATTTTTTTTTAATTTTGTTATTACTTTTGATCCTTTTAATTAATTGAAATGTTATTTTTATGGAAAAGTTTTGATTTTTTGTATACGATGGAATAAATTATTCTCTGTTACATTGTTTTCAAAATCGTTTAAATTTTCATTAATAAATTAAAAATTAAAATACACACATATCTAAAAGTACGTAATATAAAAAAAGACAATCAATATCATTTTATACTGGTGTTGTCTTATTATTATGACCTCAATTACTGTCTTATGCAACTAATGGAATTCTACATAAAAATAGATTGCTTAAAAAAAAGTTTGCTTTCTATAGAAGTCTTCGGACTTAATAAATAAATTATTTTTTCAGTAAATAAAAATTGGCAGTTATATCAAAAAATTTTTTTTACAGTTTAAGTAAAAAAAGAAAAAAAAATCTTTGTTATATACAAGTTTTCTCTGAAATTAAAAAAAAATATATTGAAGATTGAAAAAAAAATGCAAATGTTGCATAGAAATTCCAATGTGATCAAGAGAGAATCTAAAAGTAAGCAATTAATTTTAATTGCGATTTATTGTGTAAATAATAATTTCTTATATTTTTCTCTTTCTCTCTTTTTTTTCTAGGATCGCTGCAGGTGTTACTATTTCTTAGTCCATCATTCTCGGATAAGGTGCGATCCAATTTGAGCAGTTTTAAAATATTTTCACGGAAGGAATCAAGTTTTGTGCCAAAGCGAGTTCTCGTCTTGACAAAAATTTCACGATATCAGTTTGAAAAAATGCGCGAACCTGACCTCGATGAGTCTCTCCTCAGGCTTAAATTGAAAGAAAGAGGTTCCGATTACGAGGCAATGCTCACCAGTCACTATAGGAATAAAGCTGCGGAATTGCGAACAGCCGAGGTTCTTAGGAATCTCAACATAGAATATAAAATTATGGATAGGTAAACATTTCATTCACAAACATATGCGACAATATTAATTTTTCCGATAAGTACATTTTGCATAGATAATTTCATAGAAAAAAAGTTCTCTTTTTTCCTTTGAATGAAACGATTGAAAAAAAAGTTCTTTTCATGTCGAAAACAATATTTTTTTTTACAAACTTCTTTTTTAAATAATGAATAAAAAAATAGTAAAACAATTTTTATATAAATATTTTTCCCTCTAAATCGTTGATTTGAAACTCTTTTTTTCAATAGTAAAACAAATGTTTCCTTATTAATTTATTAATTATTTTGTTCTATTTTTATTCAATTTATATTTATTTATTTCGATTAAAGATGTGCATTTTAATTATAGGCTGAGTATAGATAGTTCAAGTGTGGCATGGGCTGATTTAATTTTACCAGTTGGAGGTGACGGAACATTTTTATTGGCCTCCAATTTAATAACAGATAATAAAAAGCCGATAATGGGCATTAATTCTGATCCTGAATCGTCGGAGGGATTTCTTCTATTGCCAGCAAAATACACTGAGGATATAACGGAAATATTCAGGAAATTGAAGGACGGAGAATATAAATTCGTCATGAGAAGGAGGATTCGAATTACATTGAAAGGTGACAATATTTGGGGACCTCCATCTCATTTACATGAAAAATGCCGAACGTCATCGAATCAAAGGTAATAGTTTCTTTTGTCTTTTAATATCCACTATATAGCACTGAAAAACCTTGAAAAAATATCGTTTAGTCACTTTGCAATTTAATGTGCTGAATGTAAAATTCCTTTTAACGAAGATAAATACAAAACAGTATTTTACTAATTATTATTATTATAAATAATAACAAGGAATTTATATTATAAATTGCTTTGCTTCTTCCTTTAATTACTATTATTATTATTTATAAACTAGAATTTATCACTCGGCCGAAAATTATATAGGTGAGAAAGAAATCATTCTTTTCTCACCTATATTATTATTATTACTTATAAAAATCGCTGTTCCGTTATTCATTCATTCATTCATATTTTGAACGTATCCGTAAACTAGTCACTCTTGCGTATGCTTCGTACGCTTTTATTTTTTTAGGTTTCGACAGAATGATTCTCAAATCATTTTTTCCATTTTTTAAATATTTTTCTTTCAAAATACAAGACTATTTTTAGAAATTCTAATAAATTTCTTTAAAATATAAAATTTATTTAAATACAATTTGACAAAATTTCTAATTGCTTGAAAATTGATTATTAATTATTATTGTTACATTTAATTATTTTTGAGAAATCAAATGATTTGTCAATATACAATGTATCATGAAGAAATTATAATTCAAATCTAATTTTTTTGAATGTCTAAATTAGATTATTCAGTGCTCGAGTAATTTCGTTAAGCTATTCTAAATAGGTACTTATTTTATTTATTTTTCCACAGGAATTAAAATGTTTTTAAATTAAAATTTCTAATCTTTTAAAATTACAAAATTACGGACGGATTTTAAAATCTATCAATTTTTAAGAAAATAAAAATCTAAAAAGGGTCACAATATTTTCAGACCGACTTTATTTTCTGACCATTGATTTCCTCTCACAAAATTACTATAAAAATATTTTTATACTAGAATTAATAAGTTTAATTCTTCAAGAAAAAAGTATTAAATTTGTCATTTTGAATTTAATTTGTAAATATTTAATTGATAATTCAATTAATTTATGATTTATATATTTACTAATTACTTAAATACTTTAAATTTATAAATTAAACATTTTTTTAGTTTTTTGTTTTTTTGTATTTAAAAATATTGTTTTGCTTTGTTTTGGAATTTATTAAAAACTAGCAAATGTTACGCGCGCGGAACGTGATATTCAACTTATTATTCTGATGCAAATTACAAAATTTTTTATTTTCAAATATTAAGTTTTAAATAATTTGATAATCAAAATTTTTAAAATTCACTTATTAAGTACAAAATTAATTATTATTGTTGATATTTTCAAAAATTTTAATATAATTCTTCGCAAAAATTAAATTATTTTTACATAAATAATAACATTCTTCGGAAGAATTCAATTATTTTTATAAATAGTAAAATTTTTTGTAAAAATTCAATTATTTTTAACAAAATTTTAATAAAATTTCAGAAAAGAATTCAATTATTTTCTAAAATTTTAATAAATCCTTCGAAAAAATTCAATTATTTTTATAAATAGAAAAATTCTTCGCAAGAATTCAATTAATTTTATAAAGAGTAAAATTCTTTGCAGGAATTTAATAATTTTCAAAACAATTTTAATTGAATTTCACGAATGAATTCAAATATTTTTAAATATGTCCATAAATTTCTTTTATTTCCTAAAACTTTAATAAATTCTTCGAAACATTTAAACCATTTTTATAAATAGTAAAATTCATTGCAGGAATTAAATTTTTTTTATCAAATTTAAATAAAATTACACGAAAGAATTTAATTATTTTCAAAAATTTCCATAAAATTCAATTTTAATAAGAATTTAAAATTCTCTAAAAAATAATCCAATTATTCCCAAAATATTTTTAAAAAATTCTATATAAAAATTAAATTACTTTCAATGCAATTTTTAAATATATTTGTCAAAAAAATTGAAGGAATTTAATTATTTTCAATGCAATAATAAAATTCTTTAAAGAAATTCAATTATTTTCGAAACAACTTTAATTGAATTTCTCGAAAAAATTCCATTATTATCAAATATTTCTATAAAATTCTTCATAAAAATTTAATTATTTCTTAAAATTTTAATAAATTCTTCGCAAGAATTCAATTAATTTTATAAATAGTAAAATTCTTTGCAGGAATTCAATTATTTTCAAAACAATTTCAATTAAATTTCTCTGATGAATTCAAATATTTTGAAATATTTCCATAAATTTCATTTATTTTCTAAAATTTTAATAAATTCCATCGAAACAATTTAACTATTTTTATAAATAGTAAAATTCTTCGCAAAAATTCAATTGCTTTCAATTCAATTTTAATAAAATTCTTCTTTATAAAATTCAATTGCTTTTGAAATTTTCAATTAAAATTATTAAAGAAAACTCCATTAGTTTAAAAAAAATTCAAAGAAATTTTTCAAAAGAATTTAATTAGGATTTTTAAAAATTTTAATAAAATTTTTTGCGAGAATTCGGTTATTTTCCTAAATAGTAAAATTTTTTGAAGGAATTCTTTTATTAGCAAATTTTTTGATAAAATTCTTTTCAACAATTCGATGATTTTCAATACATTAATTTTAAAATTGAAAATACTTGAAAAGAAAAATTAATTAAAAAATTAATTTTTTTATTTTATAGTTAAAATATTAAAATATTTATTATTTTTATAAAATTACAATAATTGCGAACGATCTTCCTTAGTATGATTAATTAATATATATATCATTAGTTATTATTAATGTTAAACGAAAATTGAAAATTTTAATTATAAGAGTAATATAATGATAATGATAATAACAATAATAATAAAATAATATAATAAAAATTGTTTTTAATTTTTAATAATATTGCTTATTAACAAGAGTTAATTTAAACTTAAATTAAATAACTCATTTGTATTTATAGTACCTATATAAATGACAGAATTTTGTATAGTTTCTAAAGAAATTGAATTTTGGATCGAACAAATTTATAAATCCCCAAATTTATTTATTTTAGAAAATTATTTAAATTTAAATTTATATTATTTTAAAGTTTTAACTAAATTTGAATTCAGTGATACGTCCCTGATTCGCGATAAAAGTTCCCTCTGCGGTAGAATAAGAGAAATAATTTTGTGATTGTTGTCCTCTAACCTTTAAGGTTATAAAATATTTTTTTCTTTTCTCTTATTTTTGATATATTATATAGGAGATACATTACATTATTCGCTTTGTGTCTATATTTTTAATAGTTCGAAAAGTGCACTGCTCGAAAAAGAAAGAAATTCCAGTCGCTCTGTATATTCATATTTATATTTATCCGGTTTGCAAAATGTCACAATTTCCACGAGCAAAGAGAGCAAGATTAGAACAATATGAAGAAGATGTGATAAACAATAAACAAGTTGGAGAACCACCGGAATTGGGAGACGCTGTTTACCTCTGGTACAACCAAATGAAAAATCAAAAAATCCCCATAAACAAGGACGAAATACGAAGTAGAGCTCTTATTTTAAATGAAAAACTCTTTGGACCTTCGCAATTTAATACACAAATTTGGATAGAACAGTGGAAAAATAGATATAATGTTGATTTATCGACTTTTGAATCAACACCGGGTGATAGTCAATTGGTCACCGAATGTAATGATATTATAATGAAGTATGTAGAGGAAAAGAATTTATCCCACGATCAAATATTTCACTGTAATATTACAACACTGAATTTTTTGAGTCTTCCAGTGAAATCATTAATTTATCAAATGGAACGTGATTTGCCGGAATTTAAAAGAAATAACGATCGTGTTACAATATTGGTTTGTGTGAATGCATCGGGTTCGTTGAAAATTCCATTGATGGTCATTGGACAATTTCCAAGTCCACGTTCATCGAAAGGCGAAATACTCAATAGTCTTCCTGTTTATTATAAATATCGAAAATATTCCTTATTGGATTCATATCTCTTTCAAGAATGGTTCGACGATGTTTTTGTGCCGAAAGTTGAGAATTTCCTGAAATTAAAAGGTCTCCCAGGCAGAGCTATTTTAACGATTGACAATCAATATCCACATCCTGATATTGAAAAATTGCAACACGCCGATATTGTGACAATGTTTTTGCCTCGCGATGTAAATCCAATTATTCAACCAGTAACGCAAGAGGTTGTGGATAATTTAAAAAAATTCTATCGTCAAGAATTTGTTTCGAATATAATCGATTGTTTAAAGGATGATTGTAGATTGATGGACTATTTGAAGGTGATTAATATTAAAAATGTCATTTATTGGCTTTCGGAATCGTGGCATAAAATATCGGTGACAAATAATTCTTGGAGTACTGTTTGGTTGGATGACGAGAGTAATTCGGGGAAATTGGAGAATAATGTTGTACAATTGGTACGAATTTTGCGAACAATTGACTCGGTTGTATTGATTAATAACGAAGATGTTATGAATTGGATTCGTAATGATCAGATTTCGCAAGTGTTTCTCACTGATGAGGAAATTATTCGTTCGATTCAAGAAGAAGAGAATGGTGATTATATTGATATAAAACCAAATTTAGAAGCTTTGGATGTTACGGCAAGTGATGCGAGACAAGCAGCTGCTAGATTGATAAATTTTTTTCAAGATCAAAATATTTCCCGGGAGGAATTATTGACATTGCATCAATTAAGGGATAAAGCTGCTTTAATTATGAGGGAGGATGTAAATAGTCAAGAAGTTGACGATGGTAAACGGGCGTTTTTTTTAATTGTAGTATTTATAATTAATTTTAAGTCAAATTTGTTTGATTTTTACCTTTACTCAATTTTGACTTTTTTTTACAGGCTTTACTTTGAGAAAGAAGAGGATATGGTAGACACGACCCAGGAGCTTCCAGAGGAGAGACGAATTCCGTGGTTAGCTCTAAACGAAGTAAGACAACGGATTTTGATTCTCTTCCCAATTTTTTATAGCAACAAAATAATTTTAATTATTGAAAAGAAAATTTTCTATTCGAAAATGTTGGTAAAGTTAACAACATTCGTAAATAACGATTTAGACGAAACAATATTTTTCTATTTAAAGTTTTATATATTTTTGTGTAAAAAAATGTTTTGCGTAATTTTTTTAAAAGAGAAAAACTTTTGAAAATTTAATTTTTGAAAAAGAGAAATTTGGAAACAAAATATTTTATTGTTTTTCTGAAGAAAAAAATGTTCTTTCTTTCAATCATTGATCATAAACGTTGTAAACTTCATCGACGTTTTCGAACGTTTGTGAAGTAAACAACGTTTTTAAATAGAAAATTTTCCATTTAAAATTTCGAAAATTCAAATGTAATTTGAAACGATTACTTAAAAGAAAAACTTTTTGTTTTCTAGGTTTTTATAGGCGAAATTTTATCGGCAAGAACGAGTTCCCTGCTTATTAAATTAGACGAAGAGGAACAATATCACAAAATCAAAAGTTCAGGTCTATGTGTGAGCACGGGAACAGGTTCGACAAGTTGGTTCAGATCGATAAGTTGTCTAAGTCCGCAGACCGTTAAGGAAGTTTTGTCTTTGGCGGAACCGCAAAAAACTTACCTCAACGAAGAAGCCGAGAAGATTTGTTCCGAGTACAATAATAGGCTTCAATTCTCCGAAGGTAAAAGAACTTGAATCATTCATTTCTGTCTAATAATAAAAATATGTGATTAAAAAATTTTCAAATATTTTCAAATTGAAAAACTGGAATATTATAAGTTATTCAAAAATATCAATTAAATTGGAAATTAAAAAAATTACATTTTTTCTAAATTTTAACAATCAGAATTGCCACAGATCAGGAAAATCAGGGGAAATTAAATTGTTGAGATAAATCAAAGAAATGTCAAGGAATTTTTATCAAAATCTCCAGAATTACTACAAAAATTTTAGTTTTTGGTGTCCAAAAATATTTTTAAAAAAATTAAAAATTAAGTAATTGAAATTGTGTGAAATATTTTAAATTTTCTAAAATTTTATTAAAAATAATTTATTTTTAAGGGAATTTATCAAAATTTTCGAAATTCGAGAGAAGTTCAATGAAATTGAATTTTTTAAAAATAATTCAATTCTTGAAAAACTATCATAAACTATCATAATTATTAATCATGAATTATTTAATGAATTTTACTTAAAAATTGAAAAAATAATTAAATTTTATAAGAGTTATGTTTAAAATTTTAATGAATAATTGAATTTCAAAAGGTTTCAAATATAATTTTTAGAAAATTTAAATTTTAAATAATTTTAATTGAAAATTCTGAAGAATTTGGTTTTTGAAAGCATTTAAATCTTTTTGAAATTATAGTCAAATTTTCGAATAATCGAAATTTTGTAAAATTAAATTGTAAACAATTTGATTTCATAAATATTTAGGTAATATTCAAATCATGAAAATAATTTTTGAGAAAGTTATAGTAGCGATTCTCATAAATATTGTTGAATTTCAAAAGTTTTGAAATAAATGTATTAAAAATTATCGAATTGTTGCAAAGAATTTTATCAAAAAATTGAATTTAGGAAAAATAATTGAATTCTCGTAAAGAATTTTGTTAAAATTTTTGAAAATACCTACTAATTCAATTCTTTTTGAAGAATTTCTTAAAATTTTTTTTTGAATAATGGAGTTTCTTTAATAATTTTAATTAAAATTTTTTAAAATAATTGAATTTTATGAACAATTTTTTTAAGTTTTTAAAATAATCGTGTTTGTTAATAATTGAAATTAAACATTTAATTATTGAGTTTTATTAAAATTTTAGGAAATAATTGAATTCTTTTGAAAATTTTTATATCGCATTAAGAAAAAAATTGGATTCTTTCGTGAAATTTGTTTGAAAATAATTGAATTTTTGATAAGAATTTTATTATTTATAAATATAATTGAATTGTTTGGCAGGATTTATTAAAAGTTTAGAAAAAAATTGAATTTTTTCGAAAAATATTATTAAAAATTAAAAATAAATTGAATTCTTTCTTGAAATGTTATTAAAATTGTATTAAAAATAATTGAATGTTTGCAAAGAATTTTACTATTTTTAAATAAAAATTAATTGAATTTTTCGTAGAATTTATTAAAATTTTAGAAAATAATTGAATTCTATTGAAATTTTTTTCTTATGAATTAAGAAAGAAATTGGATTTTTTCGTGAAATTGTTTTGAATATAATTGAATTTTTGCAAAGAATTTTACTATTTATAGAAAGTAATGTAGAAAATAATTGAATTTTTTCGAAAAATATTATTAAAAATTAAAAAAAGTTGAATTTCTTCATGAAATGTTATTGAAGTTTGAATCTGAAATTATTCAAAAATTCATATTTGAAAATAAAAAATTTTGTAATTTGCATACCTAATAATCCTTCGTAACGTTTGCTAGTAATTATAATAATAATTAAATATTTATCTAAAAAAACTATCGATGTTTACAAATAATTTTACAATCGAAATTGTAGTGTTGGAGAATAAGTCAAAATTGAAATGAGAGAAAAACAAAATTAAATTATTTCGTTGTAAACCTGAAACAATTCAATTAATTTAAATTTTAATTATTTAATTTAATTACATTAAAATTTAATTTTTTTTTTTACAGAGGATGCGAGAATGAATTACGCGATTCGTGACATGATCGTCTCGGAAACTTGGCCCCTGCCAAAAAGTATGCACCCAAGAGGATATTGTATGAAAGTTATGGTTCGATCATTGTGTCACGATTCTGCTCTCGTCATTGATGGCGGTATCTCCATTCCTTTTCCAATGGGAACCATAGCAATTTTAGAAACTTATCCTGAAGATTCGCTACGAAATGTCGTCTTAGAATAACTACGAAGAAAAGAGCTAAACTGCATTTTATTGAAAAGAAGCCATTCACAGGCTTTCTAATGTTTTTTTTTCTTTTGTTACAAAGACTACTTATATATTTTCTACTTAAAAAAAAACAAACAACTCTTTCGACTCGAGAAATAAAAGCTGATTTTGTAATTTTTATATAATAACACATGTAAAATAGAATCAGTGTGTTTTCTCGATGAAAGAATAATCTTGTGATAAAGCCGGTTGGAGGTTTCAAAGAAAAGATTTTTACAATATTTAATTTTTTTTAAATGAATATTTTCTTCGTGTACAGAAGTGTGTTTTTTATGTTCCTTAAGTTCCGAATGTTTAAATGAACGAAATTTATTTAATTCTTCCTTAAATTAAAATTGAGTCACAAATGAAAGAAAAAATAGTTTCTAGGTTTTATCTCACTCAGTAATTTTTTGAATATATTTCTGGTTAAAAATTTCGTTCATTTAAAGGTTTTTAAACTTTTGTAGATCATGTTTTCTTTTTTAAATTTTATTTTGAAATTACGGCAATCGCACGTGTTTACAATGCACGATACACTTAAAAATCCTGTAATGTTTCTTTATCGATAAATTAATTGAGAATATTTTTTGAACTGTTATTTGGGAGAATATTGTTTTTCCTAGATGATTTTGATATATATTTATATATGTAAATGAAAATTAAAGTCGACCAATGTTGAAAATAAAGAAAAGAAAATACTAATTTCTTTTTCTGTTTTATGTGAAATTCAAAATATATTAACATCGAAAATGTTATAATATAGAAATTTGTATAAAACGTACAAACTGTATATCCTTATTAGGGTTTTAAAACAAGGAGCATAATGGGTAAAATCATATTTATATAGATGATGCTTAGAAAAAGATTTTATGTAAAAATTTACTTGGGTGTTGGTTGAAAATTCCAATTCCAAAGTTCTGAGCAATATCGACAAATTTGCGATAATTTTTATTTTTTATATGTACCTATCCAAATTATATGATAAATTTTGACTTTCATATATGCAACTTTGTGGTATAAATAAAAAAAATTCATAAAGAATCCGAATCCTTTAAATTATGCAATCCTTACACTTTAATATTATTTTAATTAATGCAGTGCTGATTTTATTGACTTTGAAAATTTAAATTTTACCGCTATACGTACTTTCCCATAGAACACTGTTACCAATATGATAAATCTAATTGATTATTTACAATAATGTTTACAACTAAATGAAAAGTAATGACAAAAAATATCAAAACGTTGAACTGTACCTATAAATAACAACATTTTTAGATCCATTAGTAATAAATTGTAACTTAAATATCAAATTTCCTTGATATTAAAGAGTAAATTAAAATAATTAAAGAGTAAACGATAAACGTCAAATAAAGGTTGGTAGAACTGCGAACAGAAGAAACGTCATTGTGTCAGCTGTGAATCAAGAGTGTGTTTATAATTAAAGTGAAGAACACAAAAAACAAAAGTTTACTAAAAGAATAATAATCCACTTAATTTTAATAACAAAAGATGTTACTGCCTACTGAAATAGTTCATTTCGCGATGCCTTTCATCCCATAAATCTTGGAAATTGGAAATAAAATACGTAAGTAATTCTCAAACATAGGTTATTTTTCCTTGAGTTCCTTGACAATGCACTTTAATTTAATTGACATATAATTTTCAAAATAAACTAAAAAGAATCTACTTCTATTTAACAATTACATTTTTATTATATTCTAAACCTTTGAAATTTCATTTCCAGACCCTTATTTTGCAAAAATGAATTCCAAATAATGAAAATAAACTCACTTTTAGGTTAGATTCTTGTCAACTTGTCAATTCTTTGTTTTCTTGGTTTTCTTAATCACAATTAAAATTTCTTTCTCGACATTAAAAAATGTAAATTCACTTGAAACTATTTGAACAATACAGATTTATAATTTCCTTCCAAATCTTAATTCTTTTTGTCTAGGGAATAATTTTTCCAATTTGATTAATTGACAACCAATGTGACGTAATTACATTTTATTTCTTATGGAAATATTTCTTTGTCAATTTTTTTATATGAAGGTTAATTTACACATTTCACATATTCTCTGAAATGACAAATTTAGAATTTAATATAAATTTATGTACAGAATAATAAATCTTTCTTAACAAATGGAATGTTTATCATCTTTATAAAAGTGTGTATCGCAATCTAATCAAATAATTTTTATAGGGAACTCTGATAAAACTTGGAATAAGATAGTTTCTTTTACTCCAATCAATTTGAGAACAATAATTAACCATTTTTTTCTAAATTTAAAAATACTTTTGCATAAAAGTATTTTTTTGATATTCTATATCAATCTTTGTGTGTAAATATATTTGTTAAAGATTTAAAACAGTCTGTTTGATTAATTGTAATATTTATATAATCTTAAGCTTCACTTCCTGCATTTTATCACAAATGTTGTGTGTTTACAATTGATTTTATTCGCCTTACTGAGGTCACTACTTATGAATGAAAGAAGAAACAAACTTACATGTAATTAGATAAATTAGTTTTTATTTTTTGATTGGCAAAATATATGAATTTTTAATATCTAAAACTAGGATCGAAATTTTATTTTTTGTTTATTATCTCCAAAAGTACTGGAAATGAATCAAATATTTAATTTTGATTTCGTTATGTGTTTTTTTTCAGTAAACCGTTATAATTATGGAGACTGAAAGGCAAATGAGAGGAGTTGCTGAGACCCTTCAAGCTTCAATTGAATCTCAGAGGGGAATTGGTTCTCAAAGTATTCACAGTATCAATAGTATCAATAGAGCAACGGATATAATTCTCAGCGAACATCTTATCGCTGGTGCTAGGCACAATGGAAAAATGTCCAATGTCAGGCGATTTTTTTGTCTGTTCGTTACGTTCGATCTACTTTTCACATGTCTTCTTTGGCTTATATGTGCGACAGTAAGTAATCCTTAAAAAGATAAAGAGAAAAAATCTCAAAATTATTTACAAGTTCAAGCTTTGGATATTATGACTTTTTCGCCTTTTTTCAATTTTTTTTCAAAAATTACACTTTTTCGACTTATTTTCGAAAATTGCGACTCTTTCGATTTTGCTTCTAAATATTCCAAAAAAATACCAAACTTTTAGTATCAAATGCAACTTATTTCGATTTTTATAGTATGAAAAATAACTATAGACAAATATTTCAAAAATTATTTTTGAATAATTTTTTTAATAAAATTTTCGAAATATACAATTAAAATTTTTTTGAATAATTGTAATTTTGTAAAATTCAATTGAAAATAATTGGTTTTTAAAGCATTTTATTACAATTTTTGAAAATCAACTTTTGAAGAATTTTAATTGCAAATTTTGAAAATAATTTAATTCTCAAAAATTTTGATGAGAAATCTTCAAGAGTAAATTGAAAAATAAAAATGAATGAACATTAGCTTTTAAAAATTATACTAAAATATTTTTGAAAAAGTAATTCTTAGAATTATTTCAATCGAATTTTTTGAAATTCAATTATTTTCAATATTTTTAATTACATATTTCCGAAAATTCAAATATATACAAAACATAATATAATTCAAATTTTTTAGAATTATTTTTAACTTTTTGAAGAAAACAATCATATTCAAAATTTTTAATTAAAATTGCTCAAAAAATTAATGAGCTTTTTTTTTAAATATCCGAAAATTCTTTTAAGAAATTCAATTATTTTCGAAAAATTACATTACAATATTTTTAAAATACTTAGAATTGTTTTATCACCAGTTTTTTAAAATTCAATTATCTTCGCATAAAATAAATTAAAATTTATAATAATTTAGGTACTTTTTTAGACTTATTAAAATTTCGGAGAAATCATGTTCATATTTATAATTGAAATTCTTTAAAAATTTGTTTTTTTTTAAAAATATTTTCATTAAATTAATTTTAGGAATTTCTTTATAACAATTTTTTGAAAATATTATACTTAACTTAAAAAAAAACATGGACTTATAATTATTTTAAAAAATTGATTTTTTGTATAATTATATAATTGAATTCTCGAAGAACTTTAAAAAAAATAATTAAAAATAATTGAATTAGAGATGAAGTTTAGTTTATAATTGTAGAAAATAATTCAATTTCGGAAGAGTTGTAGTTGCAATTTTTAGAAATTATTAAATTTCAGAAGGTTTTAAATTGGAATTTTAAAAATTTTATCTTCCATGGAAAAGTAAATAACAAGTATTTAAATATTTAATTAACAAGATTATCAAATTTTGAATAATTGAATTTATTTTTTTTTTTAATCGACTAAAGCATCTTTTTTGCGCCTTAAAGGTAATCCAGGGTCTGTAAGTTCTTTATTATTAGATTATGTTTTAATTTCAAATACTCTTTTTCTCAGATCGCTGGAGAGAGTGCAGAATCCGCATTTGTTGATCAAGTGGTCCATTACAACATTTCGACATCACTATTCGACATAGTTGTACGTATTTTTTTATTTCTTCTTGTATATTTATAAAATTATTTCACGTTACATGTAAATTATCATTATACAAATTAATAATCACCGGTTATTATTTTTCAGATGGCTGCAATTTGCAGGTTTACGGTGTTATTATTATTTTATGCGTTATTGTATATAAATCATTGGTTTATCGTGGCAGTAAGTACAATTATTTTTCTCCATTAATAATTAAAAGTCACTTTTGTGAAATTCGCAATGTTTATTATCAACAATTTAGAAGAAAAAATATTTTTCTATTTAAATTTTTATGAATCTAATTTGTATAAAAATACTATCGAATTTCTTTTATAAAACATGTTTTTCATAGTTTTTTCATCAATAATCTGAACAAAAATTTTTTTAACAATAATTCTGGGAAAATTCGAAAATATGCAATATTTTATTATTTTTGTCAAGAAAAATATGTTTTTTCTTTTAATCGTTGATCGTAAATGTTGTCAATTTTAGCGACGTTGAAGGTATTGATAAAAGAACCGGTTATAATTTGTCTTCAAGTTAAAAATCATTGTTCTATAAGTCAAAAATCAAAAAGTACGAAATCATAATTTTTAAAGAAACAAAAACGAGAAGAAACACGAAATGCTTGCAAGAAATTAAAATTCCAAATTCTTTTGTTCAAATTCTCGAATTTTGTGTCTTAAAGAATTAAAACCGATTTTTGAATTTAATTCTTAAATTCTAACTTTATGGAAATTCTCGTTCTTTCAGCTTTCTACGGCCTTATCGTGTGCCTTTCTCTTGGCCAAAGTTTTTCTGTTCGACGTAAGTTTCATATTTTTGTTTTCTAAATTTCTTTTTTTTTCTTTTCTCTTTAAATGAAGGGAAAAATCAATAAATTTTGAATTATTTTTCAGTGGTCACGATACAGTCAACCAGTTTTTCAAGTTTTACTTATAATAATGTCCTTTGTGCTTGCTTGGGGTGAAGCGTGGTTCTTAGATATTAGAGTAATTCCCCAAGAGACAGAAGCGAGTAATTGGATTCTAGGTAAATTTCTATTTTTTCATTTATTGTAATGATTTTCTTTTCCACCCCCTCAGTATAAAAAGCATATTTAAAATTCGTTCAAAAAATGTTTTTATTTTCAAGGAACGGTAGACTCTGAAAGGGCACCACTTCTACAACCTGGAGCTCATATTACAAATCTTTATAGTGAAAATGTGGGTGCTTTTTACACTCCAGTAGATTCTCCGAATCATTCGGGCGATGAGGATGAGGATGATGGACGAAGAAATGAGACAAATTCGTCTTTTAGTCCCTCACCAATGGTACTCACCGACCGGAAGGTTTGTTCATTTATAATATTTTTTATTATAATTTTATTATTTTATTCTCATTATAATTTGTATGTACTATTACTTTATTTTTATTATAAGTTTTATTATAATTTAATTTTTTTATTTTCTTTTTATTATAATTTTATTTATTAGAATATTTTTCGATAAGATAAACTTCTTAGTGCAGCAAAAAGGATACCGTAGATTAAAAAAGCATAAAATTTGAAAAAAAGTAAAAAACAAAAGAACAATATAAAGAAACTTTAAAGCTATCAGAATTTATTTTCAGGCGAATTTATTATTCGCTAATTAATGACTAGCGTAGTTTTTATTATTACTATAATATACAATGAAAATTTGCAATTATTACTAATTTGAAAACAATTATAAAATATAAATATAAAAAATATATATATAAAGTAGGTAAAAAAAAATTTTTTAAAAATAAAAAATGATAATTACAAATTATTGTCAAATTTAATAATAATTATTACTATCATTCCAGTAATAATTCTGATAATAATAATGATTTACTAATTATACTCAATTCAAAATTCTTATCATCTTAATCAAACGATAACGCTCATATAATTTTACGAGATAATCGAAATGTTCTAAATTTTGAAAGTCCATTGTTTGAAATTTGCTAGTAAAATTGGCAAAATTTAAAGTTTTCTTTTATATTGCAAAAATATAAAATTATTTCTTAAACTTTTGATAAAGGAATGAAATCATTTTTTTCAAATTGAGCTAATTAAATTATAATTTTGTCTCTATTTTATATTAAATTATCCTAGAAAGGAAAAAACCAGTTTGCAAATAAAAGCCACATATTGACTAAATAATATAAAGACACATGTTGACTAAATGAGAAATTTCTTAAAGAATTGATAGTATTGTTCGTGAGCAGTTCAATGGTGGTCACGGTGTCATTGTTATTGTTTTTCATCTACAAATTATGAATTTTATCAACGATTATTGTTTTCAATGGTTAAAAAGTTCTAGTGAAATTATGAAGGAGAAGACAGAAGTTGAATTCAATAATTCCATTGTAGGTTTATGAGTCAACTAAGTTTTTATTCATTACCATAATTATAATTTATTAACTCAATCAATTGATTGATTTGTATAATTTATTATAATTCAACAAATTTATTTTTGGGTCAGACCATTATATTTCAAATAAAGTCGTTGCGGACTAATTTTTAAAAAAATTGATACTTTTAGAAATGAATCTGTATGATCTCTGAAGAACGAAATGAAAAGAATTATATTTAAATATTTATTATTTTTCTTAAAATATGAGTGTAAAGTGGAGAAGGTGCGAAAAAATGGCACTTTTTTAGCAATTAGAAAATATTTAAAAAATTATTGAAAAATTCTTAAAAGTGCAAAAAGATTTATTGATTCATGTTTAAAATTAGTTTTAATTATTCTTTAATAAAAAAACTAGTAAAAATATAAAAATAATAGATAAAATATGTTTTTAAAGTCGATCCGTCAAATAACCTAATTTTGACGTTTTTATCAATTAATTAAGAGAAGGTGGAACTATTGAATTAAATAAAAACTCACCGAATATAAAGTATTTTTGATGAACTTTCAGGATTTCTTATCACTTTTTTAATTTTTCCTATAAATATACAAGAAATATTGAGTTGAAAGTACGCGATTTCTGAATTGTTGCGTACTTTACAACTTAATAACTCCGTTAAAGAAAAATAAAAAAATTTGGCACTTTCATAACTTCTAAATCACAACGAAATCTATACACTCAAAAATTTTCTTTTTGGTCCCGGGTCTAATTTAAAAAATAAAATAAATAAAATTAATTGATAAAAACGTCAAAACTAGGTTATTTGACGGATCGACTTTAAAAACATATTTTATCTATTATTTTTATATTTTTACTAGTTTTTTTTATTAAAGAATAATTAATCAACTAATTTTAAACATGAATCAATAAATCTTTTTGCACTTTTAAGAATTTTTCAATAATTTTTAAAATATTTTCTAATTGCTAAAAAAGTGCCATTTTTTCGCACCTTCTCCACTTTACACTCATATTTTAAGAAAAATAATAAATATTTTAATATAATTCTTTTCATTTCGTTCTTCAGAGATCATACAGATTCATTTCTAAAAGTATCAATTTTTTTAAAAATTAGGCCGCAACGACTTTATTTGAAATATAATGGTCTGATCCTTTTTATTATATTTTTTTATTTTATCACACTATATTTTTTCCATTAATTATTAATTATTATTAGTTTTATTATTATTATTTTTATTATAATTTTCATTATAATTTTTATTATTATTAATTTTGCTTCCTCATAGAGGAAGGATTGTATTAGCAAAATTTTTGATTGTGATTTTTTGACATATTTACAAACTTTTTTTCATTATACCTAATCTTTTAGTATACTTTATGCACGAATGGGCATTGCCCGTATAAATGTTATAAATAAATATAAAAAAATTTTTATGTAATTTTATCTCAGAAGTCCAAAAAACGGATTTTAAAAATTTGTCCCGATGTGTGTGTGTGTGTGTGTGTACTAACATTACATTTGCCTCAATATCTCAGAACGAGAAAGAGCTAAAGGCCTCAATTTTTTTTAAATTGTAGGTCTCCCCGGGGGACATAAAATGAGAGTATTTTCAGCCCGATTCATAAAGTTTAACTATATTTTTTTTGCATTTTTCATTTTGTAAAAAAACGTTTTTTGGCCTTAACTTAAAAAAAATGTTAGGACACCTATAAATGTTTGTCTTTAGTTTTGTAGAGTTTTTTCAGACGCATCTTTTGAGCCTTTATTGAACATTTTTCGTCTATATTAGCCGGAGATATTAAAGTTTTAAAAATCTAAATTTTTCGAAAATAGCACTTTTTTGAAAATTTTATTGAAAAATATAAAAGTAACTTCAAAAGTATCATTACCAACTTGTAGAGCATTAAAAAAGGCTTCGATTGACCTATTTTTGAACCTGATTCGGTCAGAAATTATCAAATTATTGGTATTTGAAAAATTAAAAATTGTGGAAAATAACATTTTTTCAACATTCTTGTTTATTAACTTATGTGTAATTATTAAACTATTATAACCATCTTATAGAATATATGTGACGCTCCACGAGAAAAGGGACCTTATGACAAGAGTAAATAAGGTCCCTTTTTTCGTGGAGCGTCACATATAAAAACATATTTTTTGGACCAAGATTTAATGATTTTTAACCATTTTATAAAAAGTAATTCTTATATTTCAATTATTATTATTTCTATGAGGAAGCAAAGTGTTCATGAAATGAACACCAAAATTATAAAAATGTACAACTTGGCAGCGGTTTTTATCATTACTTTTATTTAATAATTTATTATTTTATTTTGTTGATAGGAAGACAATTTCAGTCAAGATTTATCACCTAATAAGTCAGTTTATAATTATTTTTATTTTTAACATTAATTATTGTCATTGTTACACATAATAAATTAGTATTATTTATTTTACTAATTAATAACACTAACTAAATAAATATTAATTAGGTAATTACTAATTACTATTAATTAATACTACTAATAAATACTTATTATTATTAATTATCTGTTGTTAAATTTTTAAATTTTCGATTTTTTACAAAAAATTGTTTATTGTTATAAAATATAATATAAAGGAAAAATATTTTTTTTCCAGAAAGATGAGTACAAAAACAAAGCGAGATTATTGTTAAATCGTTCCGCTGAATTGTTGACATCGAAAGAGTGGATTGTGGACAAAACTACTCCTCTTGGCGACTTTGTTTCTTATCTGCAGTTTCCAAAAACTGGCAAAAAGATTTTGAGAATATCGGTAAACATTTTAATTATTATATTCTGATTTTGTAATTAATATTTATTTAAATATTTGAAATTCTGATTTTATACTTTTTCAAAATTTTGTTTTTGTTGAATGTTTAACGACTGTTTAATATTTTAAAGGGAATTGTAAATACTCCTGCGAAAGAGGTCGCAGATCATTTATTTGATAATGTAGAATCGTCCATCAAGTGGAATAAACAATTAACGGAGTGTAAAAAAATTAATGTAAGTAAATTTTAATTTAAATTTAAATTTAATTGAAATTTAATTTTAATTTTGATTTTAATTAATTTTAAATTTAAATGTTTACAAAATTTGTTTTTATTAATAAATTAGGGTAATTTTTATGATCCTTAAGTTCAAAACGTTCAAATTATGAAATTTATTTATCTTTTACTTCAAATTCAAATTTTATTATGCAAAAGCGTCACTGAAAAAGAAATTAATTCCAAAGTTTCTAAATGCAAAATTTAAGTATTCAATTTTTATTACAATAAGTAATTTACCAATAAAGGTATTTACCTTTTAAAAATATAAAAAATCGTTTATTTGAACGTTTAAAACTTGTGGATCAATAATTTTTGAATTTCTTTCAAATAGTAAATTAAAAAGAAAGAAAATAATGATTCGATTTTTTATTTTCTGATTTCTAGGCAATAGATGAAAATACAGATATTATTTATCAAGCCACACCATCTTTTGGAAATGGCATTGTTACTGCAAGAGATTTTGTAACTTTACGACATCGGGGCAATATTGGACCATATTTTATTAGCTGTGGTATGTCCGTTCCCTTTAACGAATATCCGAATCGAAAGAATTTCATACGGTGAGTAAAACAAATTTTTTTTACAATCAAGAAACGGAAAAAAGTGATTGAAAACAATTTTTTATCTAAACTTTTACTAACTTTACTTTTTTAATTACTTTTCTATATCGATTAGAATTCAATATTATAAAGTCTCAATTATTATGAGAAACGAGAATTCAATATATTTAGTTTGAATAATTAGAAAGGAGAATTCAATACATTTAGCTTGAATGATTAGAAACAAGAATTCAATATATTTAGTTTAAATGACTAGAGGCAAGAATTGAAAATTGATAGGGAATTTTAGTTGATTATAATACGAAATTCGAAAATACCAAGCATTTCAGTGCTCATTTTCACTGTCCACTCCATACATTTTGGTATGGCATTGAAAGCATTCCAGAGTTTCACTGATTCATACTTGACAGTAATTATTCAATTTACAAACTACCTTTGTGCCTTTGTGTCTTTGTGAGATAGACTGCAATTATAAAGCAATTCTCGACGAAACTGTTTCATTTCAGTTTACTAATGCAACAATCTTCTCATTAATAGAGCAATGAAGAATTTTCTTCTTATTTTCAACATACAGATTTAAAATTTCTTTTGTTTCTTGGCAAATTTTCAATCTTTTCGAATTCGAAATTAAAAAATGATCCATAAGTATTTTTCATTAAAAATATTTTCAAAAATTACAAATTGGAATCAAAGTTAAAAATTTTAATTTTACATTTAGAAACTTTATAATTAAGTTTTTTAATAGTGAGGTAAATTATTGTAATGAGTGGCTCGGAAATTTAGACTTTTCTTTATCATTCTTCGACTACTTTTCAAAAATGACACTTTTTCGACTTATTTTCAAAAATTACGACTCTTTCGATTTTTCTTTCAAATATTGCAATACCAAATTTTTAGTATATAATGCAACTTACTCCGATTTTTATACTCTGGAAAATAACTATTAATTTTTTAGTGCTTAATTAAAATAATCTTTCAAAAAATATTTTTGAATAATTTTTTAAAATTAAATTTTCGAAATTTCCAATTAAAAAGATTTTGAATAATTGAAATTTTCTAAAATTTAATTGATAATAGCTGATTTTTTCAAGTATTTTATTAGATACAATTTTTAAAAATCAACTTTTGAAGAATTTTAAATAAAATTTTGATAATAATTGAATTCTCAAAAATTTTAATAAAAAATTTTCAAGTATAAATTTAAAAATAAAAATTAATGAAAATTAAATATTTTCAATAACATATTTCCAAAAATCCAAATGCATACAAAGAATAATATAATATTAAATTTGGTAGAATTAATTTTGATTTTTTGAAGAAAACAATCGTGTTCAAAATTTTTAATTAAAATTCTTCAAAAAATTGATTATTCTTTATAAATTATACAAAAATTCTTTTAAGAAATTCAATTATTTTCGAAAAACTGTTAAAAGTTTACTTTTTTAGACTTATTAATATTTCGGAGAAATTATGTTCATATTCATAATTAAAATTCTTTAAAAATTTGATTTTTTTTTATTCAAAAATTCAATTATTTAAAAAAATGTTTACCAAATTTCAATTGTATACAATTGAAAACTATTATCTTTCAAAAATTATTTACAAATATTTTTAAAAAATTAATTTTAAGATTTTATTTATTACAATTTTTGAAAATCATATTGTTGAAAAATTTTAATTGACAATTTTGAAAATCATATTTTTGGAAAATTTTAATTGCCAATTTTGAAAAGAATTGAATTCTCAAAGATTTTAATGAAAAATATCTTCAAGTGTAAATTTAAAAATAACAATATAACAATATTTTGAAAAAACTAATTCTTAGAATTGTTTTATCATAAGTTTTTAAGATTCAATTATCTTTATATCTTTAAAAAACATTGACACTTTTTACAATTATTATATAAAATTGAATTTTTGTATTTAAATAACTGAATTCTCAAAGAAAATTCTGAAAATTATTAATTAAATTGAATTTCTTTGAAGAATTTTGTTGTTTATGATGATAATTTGAATTCTTTCAGAAGGTTTTAAATTGAAATTTTTTGAAATTTTATTTCCCTTGGAAAAACAAATATGAAAAATTAAATTTTTATTTAACAAAATTATTGAAGTTTTGAATAATTGAATTTATAAATTAGTGGAAGGTAATGAAAATCGGCTGTAATGAAAATTTAATTTGAAGAAGAAATAAATGAATTTCGTTCAAAACTTCAGGATCATATTAAAAATAATATCTTTGACAAAAATTATTCTAAAACTACTTCATTATTTCTTTTTTGTCTAATAAATATTAAATTTTTCTTTTCATGGATTATTTTACAATTTTTTTCGAAATTGTAAAACAAAAAGTGGTGACACGGAAATGGGCTGTTTTGTCACCGAGGAGAATGGAGAAAATTCCTGTCGTTTCACCTATATTTTGAGCACAGATTTAAAATTACCTTGGCTTCCACAAAAAATGATAGACAATGTCTCTGTGACGTCTCTCGCTGAATTTATGGATCTTTTACGAAATCATTTTCGTAATTTAAAATCATGACCAATCTCAAAAGGCCCAGGGAGCCTTCATTGCGAAAATGATACGAAAAACTTGAGTGAAAGTGAATTTCGAATTCTTTCCAGAACTCAAGAATTAATTTTTGCGTGAAAAGAAACTAGCGAACACTAGTTTTTTCTACTCTACGAAATATCTACAAAAAAATTGACAATGTTTCGTAAAACTGCATTTTTATACTAATTAAAAAAAATGTGTTTTCGATTAATTTTTTAGAAAAACAAAAAAAACTTCGATTTAGAATTTTCTATTAAATTAGAAAAAATTTTTGTGTTTAAGATTTTCTGTGAATGTGGAAAATTTTTTCTATAGAAAAAAGAGTAATTGTGTGAAACTTTTACTATTAATTTAGAAAAGAAACAAATTTTCAGTGGATTTTTGTAGATTGTACTATCATACTCGTGTAAAAATAGTTTTCTTGACAACGAGGGTGAAAAAGGACAATTTTTCTATTTTGTCATTGTAAATAAGGTCTCTCGTAAGTTAATAATAATTGTTATTAATTTTAAATTCAACATTGCTTTGTAAGAAAAGTAGGATTTATTTGAATCCTCCCCGATTATGCACAAATGTCACTGCAGTGTTAATTTTATTTAGAAAAAAAAATCCTTCTATATAAGTTTAGCATTTTTTTTCTTTTTTTCATAAAAGCAAAGAACAGTGTTTCCTCTGTGAGGAGCGTTTTTCATTATAGACTATCATAGGAACCTGTATTTTTTAATACTAGTTTTTATTGTTTTATTAAAACGACATTAATAGAAAAATTCTTTTTTAAAACAAATTTTATGTTAATTTTTTATTGTTTTTTTAAAACAAATTTTATGTCAATTCTTAATTGTTTTTTTAAAAGTAAAATGTGCCAATTTATCTACTGCTTTAATTGCCAACTAATTATTTGTCTTATCGAATTAATATTTGATTATAAATAATATTATTCAATTATGTTTGTTAAATATTTGTTAAATTGAATAATTGGAAAATTTATAATTTAGAAAAATATTTGTCCCTTGATTATTGGCTTTCGGTTAAATGAATCAAAGAGAAATTCTCGTCGATTATTTGTGGCGCTTCAATTATAAAGTGATCATCATGGGAAAAAATAATATTAAAAGGAATTTTAAGTCAAAACCCAGGAAAAATTATTTTTAGACATTCCATACTGCGTCTGGATAGAGTGAAAGTTCATAAGATCTCGATTACTCAGCTTCAGTCTAAAATAAAATCGCGTTCATTATCATGTTCGACCACAAGTACATACTGTGTTTTGAAAGCAAAACAAAAAATAATACATTTTTTATTTGTAGGTAAAAGAATTTCGATTTAATACAGTGATTGTGACATGTTCTCTTTTTTTTGTAACATACAATGAAATATGAATAACGATTAGAAATTTTTGCAATATGAAAGACTGAATAAAATTTTTCCTTTCAATAATTCACTTAATTAGAAAATTATTTTTTTATTTTATTTGCTAGAAAAGAAATAAGTTTAATTTTTAGATTCTATTGTATATGATGGTGTTTTAGAATAATTAGGATAAAGACTAAATGTCTGTAGATGTTTTTTTTTTAATGAAAAATTAACTGGCGTTCGTAAATAATAATGAACGAAACTAGTCGTTTAAGAACTATATTGTAGATATTTTATATTATACAATGTAAATAATTAAATGGATTCGCTTTAAAAATTGTAATTTGTACAATTATCACAAATTTAATATATATCAAGTACAATTTGTATTTGTGAAAAAATAATAGTATTCAAACACCTTGCTTGAATTTAATTTCTTTCTTATTCAATAAACATACATATTTTCTATTTATTCAGTGTTGCATTCAATTTTCTTACCTGACGAAAAAATATTCTTTTCTAAAATACTATTTTTTTCCGCTATTTTGAGATGAAAAATATTTTTCCTTAAAAAATATGTTTAAAAATTTATTATTAAAATGTGTTTGGAAGTTTATTATTGAAATAAGTTTAAAAATTTATTATTAAAAGAGAAATTTATTACTAAGTAAAAAATTTACAATCGGAATAATTTTACAACTTTATTATTAAAGTAATATTTTACAAATTTATTATTAAAGTATGAAAATAAGAATTATTATTGAACTTTCGTTTGCTGGTTATTTGTGAGAATTTTAATTTGCGGAAAAAATCGATTTCGAAAATATTATAAATTGTTTAATACCTTTTTTTCTGCTAGACAGCTATTATTCCCTTGGTGAATTTTAAATTCACTGGAAATCCGCAAAAAACTTATCTCGTTTCGAAACTTTTTTCTTCGACTTTTTTATAAGGAGAAGAAAAAATTTTCACTGAGGTTCCAAACTTCGTTCTGTTATCGCAGATTCAAAAAAAAGTGAATTCTAAAAAAGAGAAAAATATTCAACTAAAAATTTAATATCACGAAAAAGGTAATTTATAACTGTTATATAACCGGAAGATAACGAAATTTCAAAAAAATTTTTACGTATAACTTCGTTATGTAACTATTTTACATATATATGTATATTACACTTTTTGTATTTTTTTTAAAGCAATTATTTATATTACAAATTAATAATATTAATAAATAAAAATTAAAAATAACATAATTGTGTTATTTATTATGTTATTAATTACGATATTTATTTATTATTTTTATTTATTAATTTTCTATTTAATTCACTATTTATTTAGACATTATTTAGTTTTTTAAACTAATTTATTTATTAATAACAATTTATTATTTATTTAATTATTTCTCAAATTTATTTAATACTATTAACAAAAAATAATAGTGGAAAATTAAATTTTACAAGAATAAATATAATAAAATGTTTTTTAATATAAATAAAATACACAGAAAAAAGTTTTTGTTAATTGAAGAAATCATTTGCTTTGATTTAATAATTTAATTGAAAATTAATTTTTCTTTGATTTAAAAAACAAATAAATAATATTAATGATACATAAAAATTATTAATAACAAATAATAATATATATTTACATATTTGATTCAAAGACAATTTTTTCGTTTCAAATAAATTTTGCCTTTTAAATTAAAGATTATTTCTTTAACCATATATATCAATGATAATACAATTTCCTTGATTTAAAGAATAAATTTCTTCGATTGAAAGAAAAATTTATTTTAAATGAAACAAAACGAATCTTAGAAACTAATTTCTTTAAATTAAATTAAAAATTTCCTTCTGTGTGTATTTATTTACTTATATGCATTTATAATTAGTTTATTTACCTTTTATTTACCACACCTTTCGGTTTTGGACAAACTTTCGATTTTTACACGATTTATTGTTTATTTATTATAAAAAAGTAGAAAATAGAATTTAAAGAATATAAAATATATAAATAAGAATGAACAATACAATAATATAATAATAATATTATTTTTATTAAAAAATAATAACTACAATAAAAATAATGAACATGAAAAAAATAAAGGAAAAGAAAAATTATAAAAATGATTATTACTTAATTAATTAATTACCTAATTGATTATTATAAATATAATTACTAATTGATTTTACCTAATAGTGCGGAATTAGACATAGAAAAAAGGAGTAAAAATAGAAAAACTGTTTAATTTTTCCTGAATGAATTAAAAATAATCTTTGATGTTTTCATTGATAATTAAAATCTCTAAATGAGAAAAACAATCGTTTCGAGTATTATATGAAATTAATCGAGAAAATGGAGACACAGAGATGGCTGAAGAAGAACCAAATGATGTTTGAGAGTTTTGAATTTTAATGAAGCTAAAGTAGAGCGATAATTGCCTGGAACAGGTGCAAATCGTACTTTCGAGAGAGCAGCTATTATAAACCCAAATGTATCTTTATAATTGGAATTCATACACACATATGTTACGTATAAACAATTTTTACACACGTTTACAAAAATATACATATTTACACATATTTACACTTATGTATACCTATATGTACGTTATCAAATAAAATTATTTTACTTAATTAAATTTTAATTGATTTACTAAATTATAGTGGAAATTGAATATTAATCAAATTAATTAATAAATAATACATAATATACAAATAATATAATAAATACTAATATAATAAAATAAATTAAATAAATAAATAAAAATTTCCAAACTTTTTTGTTTGGACATGAGGCCAAACGAAAAAGTTTAATATCTTTATTATTTAAATTATATGCGACTTTCTACAAAAATTGATTTCAACACAATAAAATAAATTATAAATTAATTAATTAATTAAATAAATTCAAATCACATTCTTACCCTTTTTAAATATTTTGTCATCTATTTCATTCATCTATTCCGTTAATTTTCACCTATTTTATCTATTTTGAAAAATTTTTATATTTTCAAATTTTAATCAAGCCTATACTGCTTCTCAATTAATGAATTCATATTTCAATAAATTTAAATTTTAAATTATTGAAACTTCCATCGATTAAAAGTTTAAAATCTTAACTGATTCTAAATATCCGAATCGTCAATATTTTTAAATTTTTGTATTCTGTAATTCATCTTATTTTTAATTTGGCTGAAATTCAGTTGCATTTGAATTTCAATTCTTTCAAATTTTAAGCAAATTAAATTTTTAATATTAATCAATTTTCAATGCAATCTTTTAAAACTATATTTTCTGTCTTTTTTTTTATGTATTTATATTATTTTAGGAACAATTTCACAAAATTTGATAAATTATTTTTTTGAAATAAAACAATACTTTTTGCAAATTTTTTTTTGTAATTAAAAGCATGTAGGGTGATTTATTCAACCGTTTGAATAATTAAATTCTTTCATGAATTTGAATTAAAATTGTATTGAAAAAAATTTAATTCTCAAGGAATTTTATGAAATTTTTTTTTGAATAATTGAATTTTTTTCGAAAGTTTCATTAAAATTTTAAAAAAATAGTTAAATTTTTTTGAAAAATTATCGTATAATTCACCTTTCTACTGTATTTTAACGGAAAAAGATACTGATCCCTGGAATCTGGTTATATTTCATCATCACAGGAGCACAAGAAGAAATATACATATATATAGTGGGAATATAACTGTGCATTTAATTTACATATGCGAGAGTTGTTAATGCTTCACGGTTAGGATTATAATTATACGATATATACGTCGGTGTGCGAGGGCGGAGAATAAGGGAGAGATGAACGAGCATTTACTCGCAAGTACCACGTTGTTACGTTCATTTTGTCCTCATAAGCAGAGGAACACACGTATAAGATGAAAGAATATATTCTCTACTTTCTGCTAAATTTAACGCTCGCTGATCTCTTTCATAAAGTGTTTAATATACCCACTTTTTTCAATTTTCGAGCAAAATTTTATAATATAATCTAAGTGAGTGTATGATATTACAAATACTTTCTAAATTAACATAAAATTTTAATCTATATAAAACTTTATACATATATGTACTAGATTTAAATTTAAGTACTAGATGCACTTTTTGTTACATGATTTTTTTTTATTTTACAGTTGATAAATATTTTTTAAT